AGAAGAGGTCTGTGGCGCCCCTTGTCCCTCACACTCCTCACTTGCCCTCTGAGGTACCTCCCAGGACCCCTGGGGTACTTGGCCGCTATAGGCTCTGTAAAGACCCTTGCGCTTCTCTCTCCTGGCAGCGACCCAGGGGGAAGCACTGTCTCCTTCAGGCTGAAAGAATCCATGGCTTCAAATGGGCCACCAAGGGACCCTCCCCAGAGGCTGGAGGCGCAGGGGCCTTGGGAGGCCTGCAGAACTTGCTCTGCTTGCAGCCTTACAACAGAAGGAAAACAAGCACATCCCCAAAACATTGACTGACATAATGGGATGCTAGAGGGGACTCTTGCTGTCTCCATTTCTATAGTGACCCCAGAGGCTGGGAACAAGACGGTGGATGCCAACCACTGGCCAGTCCACCTGAGGTGCTGGGCATATGGGCAGGACCAACAGAAGCGCTGGGGCAAAGGCCATTCCTGCAAACTCGCTGTAGGGTAAGTAAAAAGTATCAGGCTTTTCCGCCCTCCCACCATTAGATTAAATGCATGCCTGATGGTGGACACCTGGCGGAGGGTGTGGGCATGTGTATGTGGGATTCACCTGGGCTGCGACAGGGCTTTTAAGGGTGACGTCGCGGAAACAGAACTACAAAGAGAGAACCAGAGCAGAAGGGACCAAGAGCAGAAGCAGCAGAGCAGCAGAGGCCATGAGAGAATGCCGAGATCCCAAAAAGAGTGAAGATTCGCCGGGGGTTAGGAGGCCTGCCAGCCTCCCAGGCCCCTGGCACCCCTGCCTGCCGTGTACCTGGTAAACTCAACAAAAGCCTGAAAAAGCCACCGAGGGCTCCAGGACTCTCCTTTACCCATCTGCTCGGGTCATAGAGATCCTGCTCTGTGCCATCCTGCCGGTGCACTCGCCCTTTGGGGAAAGGGGTGCTTTGCCCTCTCGGAAGCTGAGAGAGAATTCATAGGGCCCCTGAGAGGACTTCACTTGCACACAGAATGCCAGGGAAAGAAACAGGAGAGCTGAGAACAGGTGAGTCCGCGCAGCAGAGAGGTGGGAAAGAGGGCAGGGCTGCCTGTGGACAAGGACACTGGGGTGACGGCTGCACAGGGGAGCCAGGCTGGAGTTAGTTTTTGTTTTATAAATGAATAGCAGGGCCTCCCCTGGTGGCGCAGCGGTTGATCACTGGGCTGCGAAGCTGCCCACAGCATCTGCAGCGCAGGTTCAATCCCCAGTCACCAGCGGGGGTTCCACATGGCATGACAGACCTCTCCTGCCCTGCCCACTGCTCCCCTCAGCAGTGTATTTTGTCAGTCTGCCTGCTCTGCTCCCCACTCTGGCTCTGGTGAATCCTCTCACCCTCCCGCACTTCTGACTGTACCCAGTGCTTATATAAATAAATAAATAAATCTTTAAAAAAAAAAATGAATAGCAGGGCCTCCCTGGTGGCGCAGCGGTTGAGCGCTGGCTTGCGAAGCTGCCCGCGGCCTCTGCGGCGCCGGTTCGATCCCCGGCTGCTCCCCGGCCACCGGAGGAGGGTCCCACATGGCGCGCAGACCTCTCCTGCCGCCCGCTGCTCCCCTCAGCAGTGTACTTCAGTCCTTCTGCCTGCTCTGCTCCCCGCTCTGGCTCTGGTGAATTCTCTCACCCTCCCGCGCTTCTGACTGTACCCAGTGCTTGTATAAATAAATAAATAAATAAATCTTTAAAAAAAAAAAAAAATGAATAGCAAATCATAACACTTAATTTTAAGAAGTAGAAAGTTGAGGATGTGCCCTCAACTGAGAAGTGGACTGAGGGGTGCTCAGTGGCCAAGATAAAACCTGTGCAACTAACTGGGGGCATTTGAGGTCCCTGTGGCCCTGGAAGCTGAACCCAGAAGCCCCTCATATCTAGGGGGAAAAAAATCATCTAATTGAGAACAAGCATGGAGTCCAGGAGCACATAAGGGTTACGTGTCAGTCCATTAAGAACTTCCTGTTTCTCCCTTCGGTCCTCCAGGAACCACAGTCTGCAGGATGAGAGGGGCAGCAAGAGAAGAAGAGCAAAGCAGGAAAAGGAGAAGAAACAGAGCCCCTCTTTCCAACCACAGCCCCACTAGGAGGTCCAGGCTGAAGAAAGGACAGAGCTTTCCTCTGGATAAAGGTCTGAGTTTTGTTCCTTACCCCAACCTTTGAACTGCTTGCATACAGAGCTGGATTGAGATTATTCTTCTTAACAGTGCTTGGAGGGTCTATTATCTGTAGGTTGGGAGGGGGGAGTTATGGAAACTGCCAGAGCTGTCCTCTAGGGTTAAAGAATTAATTCAAGGTATGAGCTTCAAGGGAGAATTGAAGGAGTAGGAAGGAGGTAGGGATGCAAAGTTGTTGTTTTTTTCCATACCCTGTAAAGATGTGAACAGACAAATGGCTACATATGCACCACCTCATTTGCTTTATCTTCAAATAACACTATAAAGAGGGTTTATCCCCCAATTCACAGATGAGGAATGCAAGGAGCTATCCCAAGCTGGAAAGGGCCAGGGGGTCACTCGCATCCTGCAACCTCACATTCCTCAGTGACCCACAGAAGCAACTTCCCCCGCTGTGACTGATGGAGCTCCATGAGCAACAGCAGAGCTGCAGGTGGAAGTCAGCTCTATCCCAGGGCCTCTTGTGGTCCTTAGCACCCAGCAGGTACTCAGTCTGAGTGACTGAAAAGTAGCCCAAGCATGGACTGGAGCTTACCTGCATTTTATAGATATTTACCAAATGTTTGGCCAAACAAAAACTAATCAACCACTCCTACATTCTCCCCTTTTCCATACTTTCCATTCCTCACCTCTCATGTGGGAGAGACTAAGTGGCCACCAATATTCATTCTCCCATCTTCCTCCCTAGTGTTAGAACCTCCAGGTGGTTATTCACAAGTTGATATAACTAGAGACTACATTTCCCAGCCTCCTTTGCAGGTAGGTGTGGTCATATGACCAGAGCAGACCACTAAGAGGGGAGTAGAAATAACACCTAAGTCCAAGTTATGAACTTAACAAACTGTCTTCCTATCACTTCTTTTCCCCGTGTTTTAGAGGAACACAGACATGGGGGTAAAGAACCAGTTTCAATCACTTCCCCAGTCTAGACATTAGAATCACCTGGGAGAGTCTTTTAAAATCCCTCCAGAAATTCTGATGTGATTGGACTGGATGTGTCCTGGGCATTAGGATCTTCCACGTGAATTCTAATATCCAGACGAGACGGAGAATCTTCTTAGCAGTGACCAGGGGATGAGTGGAGCAACAAGATTCAAAAGGTGCTGGTCCCTGGATTCTCTTTCTTCTTGGAGTTCACTTGCCCTGGAGTGTCCCTTCCTGGGACAGTTATGTGATGGAGACAGAAACTCCTTTGTGTTTGACTCTTCCTTCGGGGGGCTGTTTTTCTTTTTTTTTTTTTAAGATTTATTTATGCATACAAAAACGGGGGTACAGGCCAGAGGTGCAGGGGGAGAGAGGATTCACCAGAAACAGAATAGGGAACAGAACAAGCAGAGTGACCGAAATACACTGCTGAGGGGAGCATAGGGCGAGACAGGAGAGGTCTGCTGCACCATGTGGTTTGCTCCCTGGCCGGGGATCAAACTCGTGCTGCAGTGGCTGCAGATTGCTTCATAGGTTGTGTCTTAACCCCTTGGGCCACCAGGGAGCCCCGGGGGGGGGCTGTTTTTCACAACACTCCACCTTGGACCCTACCTAACTGAACCAGTGAACCCTGCAGTCCTCCATCTTTAATGTTGGGGATCCACATGGGTTTGGTGTCTCTTTAGGACCCCAGGGGCTCAGGAGTGGAGCCCCAGAAGCAGTGGTATTGGGAGTCCAGTCTGGAGATGCTCCTTATTTCCCACACACGGGCCAGTGGCGGATGATGGGTATAGATTATTTGGCCTTTCATCTCATTTTAGACCAGGTTTGCAAATGAAGACATCAAATTAATTAGCCCACTTGCCTTCCAAGGAAGGTCTGGCTTGTATCACTTACTCTGAGAGGCGTTTCCTTACCCCTAGAAGTGAGACTCTTGTAAGCCCAAGACAGTGGACTCTGGAGACACTGAATGAGGTGCTTTTTCTACACTGAAGTCCCTGTGGTCTCTCTGCAGGGTCAGCAATGCCAGGTCTGGGCCCCACATCTCCCCATTATGAGTCTTTAGAAAGTGCAGAGAAACAACAGCAGCCCCAGCATTTAAGGGCTAACTAAGGCCAGTTGTTCGGGGTTAAAGGCAACTGAGGGGGCTTTTATCTACTGATTGAATTCTGATGAAACAAAAATCAATGACAAGGGGCATGTTCCAAGCAGCACAGAATGTGACCTGTCGCCTCTGCTGCAGGGTTTCCCCACAGTGGTGCTGGTTTTTTGGACCAGAAAACCTTCCATTGTGAACTGGGAGGCTGCACCTTGTAGGATGTTTAGCAACATCTCTGGCCTCTACCACCCTCCTCTATAGCACACCCCCCACCCACCCACCCCTTTCTTATCAACCAGAAATCTCTGCTGACTCTGCTCAGCATCCCCTGGGGGCAAAGCTTTCCCCTGGAAGAGAACTGAGGTTCTAGAAGCAAGGGGTCTCGCCCACAGCTCCAATCCAGGGCTAGCAGTACCTGGCACATAGCAGGCTCCATACATACTCATTGAGTAAGCAACTGGAAGAAGAGATGGTGGGTGTGAGTGTGCACTGAAGCCCAAGGTGTCAGGAGTGGCCACTGGTGGATGCTGTGGACATGAAAATGCACACCCAGACCTCCTGTGCAAGGGGTGTGTGGATTGAGGGCCACCAGCTCATCCAGACCCGTTGCTCCCAGCCAATGACCTTGCATTGCGGGATACCAATGTAGAACATATCCCATAAGCCACGGGGACCCTACAAGGGTGGCTTTGGCTCAAGGATACCCCAGTGACATGACTAAGACTTTCTTGGAATTATGCTGCCTCTGAGCTTGTCCCTGCCCACTCCCCCATCCCCAGAGCTCAGCCCTGCCCGTGGTCTAAATCTCTCACCCCTTCATCTGCTGCTACACTTCCTCTTTCACGGGTATTTCCCCCAATAAATCCCTTGCCTGTCTAACCCCATCTTGGTGGCTGCTTCTTGATGGACCTGAACACACCCAGTATTCTAGAAGGAAGTCTTTCCCCAGCACCCCCTTCCTGTGTGACGCCACAATCTGGGGTGCCCCACTGGTGAGCTCTGTGGATAAAAGCATGACGCACAAACCAGTTTAGACATGGAGGGAGATCTTTAAAGTAACTCAATGTCCCTTTGTCCAGAAAATCAAAGAAGACATGAGTTTAGCTCACAAAAAAAAAAAAAAAATAGCTCATGAATAACTAATAAAACCAGACACAGCTAACATTCCATTCCTGGAGACTCTGACAAGTTCGCCTTTTATCGGTTTTAAGGCAGCAAGTAAAGTGCTTGGATGCACATGCCTTTCTTCTGCCCAAGGGGAGGAAGCAGCAGGGGAGGCGGGGAGCCCAGCCAGAGCTTCCCCATCACCCACCCTGCTTGTCCCTCCGGCTGGTCTCTCCCGAATATAATCTCAATGCACTTTGGTTCAAGAGCAAGCGCGTCTGGCGTCCCTCCGTGGAGTCTGACGGGAGCAACTCCCGTCGGGCCAGCTCAGCCAGCCTTCCCCTGGGCCAGGGTCTCCCAGGGGCAGATGACCTCCTTCTCTGTGCCCTGCTCGCCCGACTCTCCCGCACCGGCATCCTCTGGGTCCACCAGGCAGGTGCCGCTCTCCATAGGCACATCCATTTTGATCTGGAAAAAGCTTCAAGCACAAAAAGAAAGCACGTAGTATGGGGGCGGGAGGACCCCAAATTCCCACCTAAACTGGAGAGAGTGACACCCAGACATTTTTGCCAAGAGCTGTGTGTGCAGCCCCCGGGCCTGGAGGACACTCCTGTTTTCCTGCTGAATGAAGGATCATTTGAAAGGCGCATTATTTTCATTTTTGAGGGGCTTACGTTTTTCTGGTTTTGGTGAATTCAGGATGTTCCTATTGAACCAGGACTGAATTTTCAATCCCTTTGAACTGCCTTCAGATGAATCAGTGGCCTCTAAGAAAGAGGCTCCAGGCCCACAGGTGAGGCAGGGCAACGGCCGCAAAGCTAGAACATTCCCTCACCTGGGGCCAGTTGGGAAGAATCAATAGACATGCCTGGATTCTGAGGGCCTGCTGTGAACCCAGAGGGCTGCCTCAGGAAACCTGGCTTCTGGGGTTCAGGTTTGCAGCACCATCCAAAATGGACTCAAGGGGGCAACCTCTTGGCTGATCGTGACACTGTTGTTTTCCCAGAAACCACTTCAAGAAAACCATCCCCGCAAATCCCTCTGAGAGTTTGTGTTGGTGAGTGTTGAAGGGGTGGGGGGCAGAGCACCAAAGATAGGGAGGGGGACTGGAGATCCCAAAACCACGCCCTATGCACCCCACCACCATTGGTTCTCACTGTGACCAGTGGCCTTTCCTGGCCTTTAAAAATGCAGCAGATGTCTTAGACCTTCTTGAGATGGGGCAGGGTGGGAAGGAAAAACATATCAAGGGGGAAAAAATGGGAAAGAACTCACACCGTCTCCTTTACCAGCAGACGGGGGGCGGTGTGTGGGGGCTGTCTGGAAGCTGTCCAGCGGCCAGGGGGGTCAGAAGGCCCCTTTGCGGGATTGCTGGCCCAGAATCCTCCATTCCCCAGCCCCCAGCTCTAGCACCCACACTCCGCAGCAGCCCCACCCCCACCCCGGGTCCTTACTTGGGGACTCTCCTGGACTTCAGCCGTGGCAGCTGCTGGCCCACTTCCCCCAGGGGCTGCACCTTCCCGTGGGCCACAGCGGGGCACTTGGGCGACAGCCGGGCAAAGACCGGGGAGGCTAAGCAGCCTCGTCTCAGAAACCTGCTGAAGGACAGAGCCATGCGCGCCTTGGGGGCGCCCCGGGCCTGGCTGCTCTCGGTGAAGCAAGGTCCCCGCTGGCCCCCACCGGCCTCATCCTTCTGCTCGGAGCCCTCCAAGGCCACTCTGATAGGCGAGGGGCACACGGTGCTGCTGGGCCTCCGGATGAAGCGGGCGGGTGAGGGGAAGGGCCTGCGGGGCGAGCGGCAGGAGGGGGACAGCGGGATGGAAGGGGAGGGGGGCACGCAGGTCCCGGTGTACACGGTCAGGTGGGGGCTGGGGGCGGTGTGCTGGCCCGGCTGCAGAGAGAGAGAGAGCTCAGGTGAGTGGTGAGGCAGGACCGCAGGGCGAGCACAGGCCTGCTCTGGCTGTCCCCTGGTACGTCATCAGGAAAGGTGCCCAGAGCCGCTGTGACTATGGCACAGCCACACAGGGGCCTCCTGCCAAGGGGCCGGCCTGGCCCACGTCCTGGGCACCATCCCCAGAGCTGGGAAGTTTCAGCCAAAGACACAAAATGACCGTCTTCCAGGCCTGAGTTGCTGGATGTGGCCGGCTGAATTTCCAGTCACCCCAAACGCCAGCCCCTGCCCCATGCCACACCCCCACACCCCTTCTCTACCTTGGGTTCCCAGCAGAAGAAATGGAGACACTTCTCCCAGAGTGTAAATGTGGCAGGAGGCCCAGCTTGGGCCTTGCTGAGTCTCCCAAGCCCAAGACCGCCCACCTTGTCCTGAAATCCAGCCTGTGACCACACTGACCTTGACTGACCTTGGCTAACACCTGGGGATGACCTAGCTCCAGCATGGTCCTGAGCCACCTGCCGGCCCGGCAGGGGTGGCCAGGAGGAAAGGCCGCTTGTGGGACATGGACAAGCCACGAGAAGGAAACGGGAAATCCCGGGCCAGGACGTCTCTCCATGGAGAAAGGAGAAGCAGCCCAACCCCCTGGGCCTGGGAGCTGCCTGGGCACTGGGGTGGAGGAGCCTGGGACAGCTTTAAGTGAACAGAAGAAAATTCTAGCTGGGAGTTCTGGGAGGAGCTCTGCTTCTGCAAGGGCCCATCGGCCGGGGTCTGTCTCCCAAAGGCCTGTGTGGCCTGCACCGCGTCGGAGCCTGGCATGAGTGGAGCTGGGGTAGTACTGGTCCCTGCAGGCAACGGGACCCTCTGGGACAGTGAGGCCAACAAGGTTTCCAAGGGAGGATTGGAAATGTCTTCTGGAAGAGCGGGAACAAGCCTCTCTGAAGCTGCCGCCATCTTGGGAGTCCCTTGCTTAGAGGCTCCCACCTGCCCCGGGGCCTGGGCCCTGCCCTGCTCCAGGTCACCTGGGTGTGTCACCCACCACAGGGGAAGCACAGCAGCAAGCAAGGCTGGCCTTTGGAGGACAAGGAAAGAGGCCACAGAGGGCTGGCCTGGAGCTAGGGGGTGCAGGGGTTTCTCCACTCTTGCCCACCAGCTCCCTGACGTCCTAGCAAGATGCCATTTTGAAAGAGCAGCTCAAAGCACTAATTCCTCTGCTCAGACACCCACAGCCCACAAAGCAGAACCAAGCCCAGTCTGGGCCCCAATGCATCTACTTCCCAAGCCATTCCAGGTTCACCCCAACAACACTGCTGGGAATAATGAGGGGCTCTGAAGTTTGGGGGCCACCAGCTGCAGGTGTCCGTGTGGTCTCACAGTCAGCACCACCCAGGTGGTCTTTGTCTACAGACAAAGATCCTGTCCCACCCCCTACCCACTGAAGAGGGGTCTCAGGTGGGGAAAGCATCTAGCCAGCACCAAGTTTGGGGTGCCCAGCACTGCACTTCCAGGCCCTCCCACAGAGACACATGTCTCCACATAGGACAGTCTGCAGAGAAGAGCAACAATGGCGGGTAGGGGAGCCCTGGGGTTTGGGAGAAATCAGGAAGAGATGAGGATGATAGGAACTTAAAGCAAGGAGAATTTCTCCTTTGTTGGCTGTAAAGCTGGAGGAGGCCAAGTGGCAAGGAATTTGGGGAGCTTCTAGAAGCTGAGAGCAGCCCTCCTTGAACAGCCAGCAAAGCCTGGGGCTGTGAGCATCACGGGGAGAAACTGAAGCCTCGGAATGATCTGAGTGAACTTGGAAGCAGATTCTTCAAGAGCCTCCAGGTAAGAACACAGGTGGCCAAGTGAACCTGGCACGGTGGCGGGGGGTGGGGGGTGGGGCTCCCTGAGTGGTGACCCGGCTGAGCATCACCTGCAAGAAATGGTGGCTGCTGGTGCTAAGCTGTTCTGTGGCAACAGGTAACTAGTACGGTGACTAAGAATCCGAACCCAGGTCCGTGCAGCCTAAAAGCCCAGCTTGTCTGGCTGATCAGTGTTGCCTTCCCCTTCCTGAGGGGCTTCAATTAGACTTGAGGCTGTGGACAGTGAGACCCCAAATACCAAAACCAGGAGATGGGATTTGTTAAGAGAGTTGGAGGCATCCAAGTTCTCCCCCTTCAACAAGTTGACTGAGAAAACGCACACCCCCCAATGCGTTCCCTTGAACCCCACTTCCTCAGCATTTGTGCTACACACCTGTAGAAAGCCCCACTGACAGGTAAGAAAACTGAGGCTTGTGTTGCTGATGCAACTTGACCGAGATGGAGGAGACACTCCATCACCTCCCACCCAGTGCTGTGTCTCCCTGCACCTCCCACATGCACCTCTCTGTCCTTCTTCTCCCAACTCCCCTCTCCCAGAACCTTCTCTTTTCCAGGACGAATGACAGGGCAGGACAGGTAAGGGCGGTGAGGCTGCCCTGTGTCACTTACCTGGCCCAAGCAGCTCTTGTCTTCTAGCCCAGTGGGTCCTGACACTCCACACTGGATGGCTTTCTGCCCCTCCCCGTGCCCAGGGACCCTCTCCCAGAGGCCTGGGCTCACCCCTGCGATGGCAGCCCTTCCTGCCCATGGCACTCCACCACTGGGGCAGGCGGCAAAGCAGCGGCATGCATGACAAGTGACAAAGAAAAGTGACACGATAGAGACACGGTGAAGGAGAATTGGGTTCGGTGCTGCTTTATTACGTGTAGGAAGCAAGCAAAGGGGGCGAGGAGCATGAAATGGAACAGGTACATTGACAGGAGGACACGATCACAGGCGTTTCCACGGAAGGCAAAGCAGATGGCGCACAGATGCGATTCACTTTCGGTCCTGAGACTCGGAGGGAGCCCAGGGGCCACCTGAACTCCCACTTCCTGGGAGCAGGACGGGGAGAAGAGGGTCTCATTCAAGTTCAGCATGCAGGTGTGCAGCGCCCCCTCCAGTGATCTCTCCCACCAGCCATATCATCTGGCCCAGCCCACACCAGATGTTCCCATTTTGAAGAGACCTTTACTTCACCCCTGAAATTCAGGTCTGACCGGTCACTGCTGCACCTCCCCCTACAGTGACCTTTAGGGCTAACCGTCCCTAGGTCCGGCTGGGCAACCAGCGCGCAGGGGGAGAACAGCAAAACCCTACATACCTGCTGCACCTCCCCCCGCAGCGACCTTTAGGAATGGCTTTCGCCAAGGTCCCTAGGTCCGGCTGGGCAACCAGCGCGCAGGGGGAGAACAGCATAACACCCTGAAGCAGAGGAAGTGCAGCGGAAGTTCCCTGAAAAGGCAGAAGCTTATCAAAAGATAACGACCACCAGGAACCACTACAAGAATGCTAAAAATCTTATCCCGTCTTTCTAGAACTACACACTTTAATCCCTTATTTGTCTTTCTAAACTTCCTTCTTTCTTCTATAAAAGTCATTGCTTGTTATGTAGATCACCTCCCTGATGGTGATAGACTGAGCCCATGAGCAAGCTGATTTCATTGATATTCATTGTCCCTGTGCCTTTGGAAAACATATATATATTGGTCACAAAGAAAATTACACTCAGATTTTCACTCTTGAAGTGTGTCTGTTTGTCATTTCTTTCACCGACGCCCTGACCACCCTGCACGCTTCTCTCAACCCTGAGGTGGCCTCATCGTCTACTGCTGTGCTGGTCCGCGGCAGGTCACTATGCTCTGCTGCTAAGCCCCCTCCTGGGAGCTGCAGGCACAGGACGTGACACCAATACCCAGCGCTTCCCCCCCCTCCCCAATATATCCTAGTGGTCCCTGGAGAGCTGGGAGGGGCTTCATGCAAGACTGAGAGATGCAGAGGAGGAAAATAATTGGACAGCCACGCCCTAAATGTACCTTGGGAAATGCTTAAAAGAATAAAGAATCACTGGACAACACCGACAGACGGAAGAAAGCACGTGCTTACTCTCAGACCGTGACACTCTAGGGGTGGTGGTGATGGTGAGCATGACAGTGGTGAAGATGGTGGTGGTGATGGTGATGATGTGGCAGAGCATAGTGGCGGTGGTGACAGTGATGGTGGTGATGATCACGGTGCTGGTGATGCTGATTGTGAAGATGGCAGTGATGATGGGGGTCTTGGTAATGATGATAGCGATGATGGTAATGGTTCTGATAAGAGCAGCTGGCATTTATTGAGCATTTATTAGATGCCTAACAGAGTGCTAAGTGCTTACTTGCATGTTACTGTCCCTGGTCCTTGAATTTCCACTTAATCCTCACAACAAAAGCAGTCTCTTCTCTAAAAGCCAGGCTGGAAAATGAAATTCTACAAGGGAAATTCTAGTACCTTATAGCAGACCTTATAGCATATGCACTCTCTAGCATAAGAGACCTCCCGCTATGGGTAGAGGGGCTCAAGCTGCCTCAGAGCTTGCCTAAGAGGGAATATCCTAATGATATTTAAATGTAGCCAACTCCTGTCCAAGTGAATACAATTGTTGATGCTGTTTGAGATTCAAATGGGCCCGGGGGGGGGGGGGGGGGGGGGGGGGGGGAGGGGAGGTTGCCACTTACTAGAGTCTGGCAGCGGACACTCTTACAAAATCTCAAAACTGGGTAGACACCTGCAGCAACTTGACTACTAACCACGGAGATTTCCTGGTGGATTCCAGGGTTGGGGAGCAGAACACGAGCAGACACTTAGGATGGGACTGAAATGTTGATGCTTGGAGCTGAGATAATAGTGAAGCCAAGCAAATATATGAAGTCCCAGATCCTCCAAAAAGAATAGAGACCAGGGCCTCCCCTGGTGGTGCAGAGATTGAGCACTGGGCTGCGAGGCTGCCCGCAGCCTCTGCAGTGCCAGTTCATTCCCCAGCCACCGGCGAGGGTCCCACAAAAAAAAAAAAAAAAAAAAAATAGAGACCATCCAGGGTGAGTGGTCCAGGCTGGTCATTGATCATAATCATGTTCACCTACCAATTAACCCAGTACCCCTCTGCTTTGTCTTCTCCTGATCCTCCCAGCCTCGCGATCCTTGCATGCCCTCCCAAAGCAACATGTGGCTTCCCACCCTGTTGTTTAATTGTCTTTCCTGCTGGGCTGGAAGCTTTCCAACCTGTCTTTCTCCCACCCATGATCCTAGCACCTGGCATGATGCCCAGAGCACCTGGTAGACTCTTGGGGGATGAGAGACTTGGGAAGCAGACACATCTCACATGTGGGGACCAGGATGGTGGATGGTGGAGTCTAAGGTAAACATGACATAGTCTGTGCCCCATAGAGTTCATGGTGAATTCAACATCCTGCCATCCCCACCGCCATTTTGCTAGCTCTGTAATCTCAGCTCATATGGGGTAGCTAGAAAAGATAGCAAATATCTCTGATTTCACGCTTCTCAAACTTTCCCACAAAAGTAGGACAAACAGCAGGAGAGCCGGGTAAACATGCTTTCCCAGGAGTCTGAGGGCAAAGCTTCAACCTGCCACTGCCAAGCATGAAATGTCTTTGAAGTCTCAAATTTTATCTTAAAAAATTCATGTATATTTTGCATTCTAATTCATAATATATTCATGATTATTTTAATGTGAAATTTTAAACCACCTAACTTTCTTCCCATTCCAAATCTTCAAGTAAAGTTGCTGCCCCCGGCTGGGTACCCTCCTGGAATTAAACAAAATCTGTTTGAAGAAGCTGGGATCTGGTCCCAAGGCCTCATTTCTCAAGTCAGGAGGGAACAAGGTTAAGTGACTCACTCAGGACCACATGACTAGTGGTAGAACCACGTCCAGAGTCCAAGAGACCGTCTCCAAACCCAGGGCTTCTCTTCATTCATTCTTTTACCCACTTGTGCAATACACGTTTATGCAGCACTTGCTAGGCCTCAGGTATTAGGCTCCAAGTGGTAAGTAAGAGAGACATGGTCCCTCCCGTCATGTCATTCAATTTACAATGACTCTACCTGAAATTTCTACCTGGAGTTCCCAGGTAGGACCTCAACATTCTTCAAAAGAAAGAAGAACAAAGTTGCTCTTTCAGAATATAAACTTGCCTATGATTAGGGAAAGTCGGGAGAGTAATGGAATCATTTTGTTAACATAAAACCAAGAGCCACAGACTCTTTCCAAGGGCCTACTAGACCTTGTACACACCTGGCCCCGCCCACCTCACAAACCTCATCTTATACCACTTGCCCTTGTCCAGCAGGATCCATTCACCGCCTTTCAGTTCACTCCAAGCCATTCCTGCCACAGGGACTGTGCCCATGCAGGCTCCTCTCCCTGCAGAGGCCTGCTGCCTAGCCCATATTCTTGGTCTGACCAACTCTTTCTTACGCCACTGCTTCTCTGTCACCAACTTACAGAGGCCTCCTTAACTCACAGGCCTTCCATCCTCCCTGTCACGGCACCATACCCATTTGCCATGAAACGCATTCAGAATTTGTGCCGCCTGTGACTGTTGTCAATGGCAGTGTGGCCCCAATGGCTCACCCCACCCTGCCAAAAGACTTTGAAATTTCTCTCACTCAAGAGCTAGAGTCCATTTCTCCACCCCTGACCCCAGACTGCATTTGGGACCCCAGTTGGGTGAGCTGAAAGAGACCAGGTGCGGTTCCAGCTACATCTCCAGAACCCTCTGCATCACTCACGCCCTTGCGGTTCTGCCATCCCCATAGGATCGCGCCAAACTAGCTGTTGGAGGATGAGAGATGAGAGGCTGGTGAAGCAGAGCACAGAAGCATTCCACTCGACCCGGCCTGGGCACCGAACATCAAGCCCAGACAGAGTGAGTCCCTCCAAGGTCAACAGAGCCACACAGACGAGAAAGAAACAGAGTTGGAAGTCGCTCTAGTTTTGTGGTCATTATACAGCAATAGCTACCTGAGAGTTGCAGTTGATTTCACTACTTTTTGGTGAGTCCCAGTCCATAAGCTTCACAAGACAGGGAGCATGTCTATTATATTCACCAGTGCCGGGCACGCAGTAGGCACGCAGTCAACATGTGGAACGAGTCTTTTTGTTGTGCAAGAGCCCTAGCTCACTCACCAACTCATTCTCCCTGCTTTGTACTCTAACCTAAGGGCACAAGGCAAACTTAACTTCAAGTATTACCTTCTAGGCCTCCCAAGGCTAGGGGTGACCTGTCCTCTGCGCCACCCCTGACCTACTGCGGAGGGAAGCACAACATCTGGACTGTACCCAGGAGCCCTCTCTCTGATTCTCACTCATCTCGAAAATGTAACAGACATCTACCATCCCTCCTCCCGCGAAGGGAGACATCAGCACCTTCAACTTCATCCACAAGACAGCAAAGACCGTTTCCACTCCCTGCCCTGGAAGTCACAGGCTGGAATCCTTCTGCCCTACACGCTGCTCTTCCCCGGCATGCAACAGGGCATGGGGAGACCACAGAAGGAGGAAGCCCAGCGACCCCCTATAATTGTGACCAATAAAATGATCTAGTTGGGTGTTTCCAGGCAAGTGTAGCAGGCATCCGGCAGGTGTCCATGTATATAGGGGATCCTTGTAGGGGCACCTGCTTTAGAAGCAGGGGCTGAATTGCAGCGATGGGATGAGGAACTTCCTAAAGCGATTTGAAACAAATGTGCATGGAAGCACCATGCCTGAGGCGGGTGGGGGTGGGAGAGCCTTCTCTAATGTCCGAAAGCAAACGTTGGTACCGAGGAACCTGGTTTTCCCTATGCAAAACCCCCACTATGAGAACCCCCAGAGCTACTCCACCAGGCAACCCCTGCCCTCCACTGCTGACCCTGACAGTCGCCCTAATTGCTGCAGAACTAGGAAGCCCACCATGCAGAGGTCAAAGGGACATGGGGTGAGACTGACTAACGGGGCTTGGATTCAGCCAGACGCCGACCCTGCCCCTCTTGGTTCAGCTTTCCCAAATGCATGCCTCTGCCCCTCCCCCAGGGGGTGCAGATTTATTTAGGAGACAGCTCTTTTCTGAGTTGGCTCCTACGGTCCAGCTTGCTCATGACCTGGGTGATGTCCACTGTGTTGGCTGCTTCCCGGGCCTTGGCTTCTTCTTCCAGCTGCCTCAGGATGACGGGGCTGGGGCTGGAGCGCAGGTGACGCCGCATGAACGGGAGGCTGGAGCTGGAAGGAAGGACCGGGCAGAGGTTGGCAGAAGGCACATGCTCTAGGCCCTGGCAGGAGAAGGGGCTGGGAGGACAGAATCTGGGCTTGTTCCGATTGCCCAGCAAACCTCCACGGGGGTCCTCACAGAGTGTGAGCTCTCAGGGGACCAGAGTGCGTCTCTGCTGTGGTCACACAATGTTATGTTAGACATAAAGGAAGCTGCTTGGCTGGTGACATTCCAGATTCAGCTTCTACAAAGCTCAGAAATCAGTTTGTCATCTTAACTCCCTATTGGCTCTTCCTGAAATGAAGCAGGGTTTGGACACTAGAAACTGGAAGGTTCTGACCTCACGGGAGAGTCCAGCATTTGTTTTCCAAAGCCAAAGTTCTGGCAGGAAGGAGAGGGCAGGCCCGTGCAAGAGGGCTGGCCTGGAGGGGCAGAGAAAGCCCATAGGGCAGAAGAGGGACAGGAGCTGGTGGCACCACAGGACCAGCTGGAGCCTTCCAGAGAGGCTCACAGTGGATTCTCTCATCTGAGGCCATGGGGCCAGGACAAAGCTCCATGTGAAATGAGGTGGAGCCCCACTCCCTGCAGGCCTGGAAACAAGCATTGCAGCAGAAGTGGACTTGAAACCTAGGGCCCCGCCCCCCAACAAATGTCTGGGCTACTAAGCACCTAGAACTCTTCCAGCCGCTTCAGGGAGGAGGAGAGCCCTCCCTACTTCTGTCTGGGAATCTGTGCCTGAAACTGGGTCTCCAACCTGCCTTGTGAAGAAGGAGGCTTAGGGCTTGATTTCACTTAGTCTAGAAAAATTAAGTTTTCAACCTTTTATACATTGTCTTACACGTCGAGTCAGGAAGCAAGCAAGCCCACTGTGATCCTCACAGATTTACAGGCTGAGCTTCACCTGCTAAAAGCAATGAAGATGGACCCCCCCCCAAAAAATTCATATTATTTAGTAAATTAATAAAATTTTATTTAAATTTTTTTAAAGCATGCACACTTGTGTGCTTGCTCCCGGCAGCAGGGAAGGCATTATTCGACCACAGTACCTCACATGGAAGCCAAGCACTAGGGTTAGTGCCCCCAAGCCCCAGATGATTTCTCAGGCCCCCCAACTTGCCTCTGGAGAGAGAAGTCTACGGCTCTCCTTCCTCCCCCTGCTCTCTGCAGAACTTCTGAACTATTACAGCCCTTAAAGGGCTTAAAGTGACTTAAAGGAGATGCTTTCAAGTCCCAGGACACTGACCTCCCTTCCTTGCCGGTAAACCTCAAAGGATGGCCCCACAAATATCTCCTTTCTCTCCTTTCCACAACAGGGACATTAGCCTCCAGACCGAAACCAAGTTGGTTATTTTTTTTAAGCTCCTTTAATAAAGCCTCTGATGCAAACACCCCTCTTTTGAATTGACCGAAGGTGCTAGAAAGGAGCCCAGCATGGGCTGAGCTGGAAAACAGGGGACACTGACCTACCCCAATGGCTCAGACGTGTGCGGGCACCGGGACAACCTCCATGCAGCTGTCCAAGCTGCCCTTTGGTGACTATATTCGGAAACTTTGATCACTGCAGAGTTTCCCCCCTCCCCAAAAAGAGTTCAATTGGCCCCTCAGAACTGGATTTCATTCTTTGCTGAAGGATAACCATCTACCATTGGGGAGAGTCTGCTATTCTCTTGAGGTGTCTGGAGTCTACGAGGACACGTGGATGTAGCTAAATGAATCCCCACACGTCAGCGTGCAGCTGGAGAAAAGCAGCAGTTAAAAGCCAGTGAGATGGTGCTTCTCTCTGTGATAAAGGTAACGATCAGTTTGAGAATCGAAACTCTTTCAAACCAGCATGAGGGAAGCAAAGTACTCTAGCAGTAATTACTAAGGAGACCTTGCTGGGGGGATTTCAGGGCATTTATGGAGCCAAAGAGGCAATCACACCCTCAGAAACACTTCCCAGTCCCCAATATCCTCATCAGGCAAATATCTCAAGAGAGACCCTCGCTCACTCTCTGCGCCCAGCAATCCCAGACCACCCCACTTGCCTTCTCTTGGAGGTTTCCTGAGGCTCGATGGCTTTGGCCAACATTTCCTTATAGATTGGCGATTTTAAATAGCGAGCATAAGAATCCTGGTGGGAACAAGGGGAAAACAGTGATGATGCAAGAGACAGTGTCAACCCCAGTGAATTCCCTGATGGATCCCAAGGGCTCCCCCACCACCCCAGCAGCAGCAGCAGCAGCAGGAGCAGCAGGCCTGCAGAGTGAAGGAAGATGCTTCCTCGTCTGAAAGGCGCTTTGGAAAGCCACAGTCCCCAAGCATGGTCCCCTGCCAGCTGCATCAATTTCACCTGGAATTTGCCAGAAATACCACTCTCAGGCCCACCCCAGTCCTACTTTGTCAGGAAATTTGGGGGTGGGACAGTCTGAGCCTTCTCAAGGTCCTGTGACCACTCTGGACAGAGAAGCTGGTCTATACCCCCTCCCATGCCTCACCCCCCCCCCCACCACACACACACATTAAAATTCACCCCTGGGTTCTTGGTGAAGCAAGCATGAGACAAGAAGCATCCCCGCACCCAAGCACTCCCACCCACTACCTTCTTCCAAGAGAAGGGTCCCCGCGGACCCTCCGCACCCGCCCACACCTTCTTCATGAGCATGTAGATGTGGGTCTGCGCCGCGTCCAGCACGTAGCGGTGTGGGTGCCGCAGCCCCTTGACCGTGATGTCCATGGTCTTGCCGTCGATGTTTATCCACCGCCTCGCCCCGGGGGCCAGGAATAGTCTGTGGGGAGGAAATGCTAGCATGAGTAGCTAAGCCGAGTCAGTGAATGAAAAGCTCACATCTGCTTGGGGGAGGGGCTGGCATGCGGTGAAAGCCCTTTTTTAGGACACACTGAAGAGTTTCCACAGTTGGCAGGCAACCTCTGAAGCAAGAAAGCTGCTCGCCGGTGCTGGAAGGTGAGTATTTACTTTGGTGTTTCCTCCCGAGGAGACAGAGCAGAGGACATGCAGTGACCCCAGCTTGGGGGGGTCCTCTGACTTCACTCTTCTCACCCCTTAATTTCCCTGGAGCCCATCTGGAACCAGGCTCAGCCACCTCCAAAGTGGTGCTTGGGAGCTCTAGACGGGGTCTCCACGTGTTTGGGGGTGAACCTCCCCGGCTGAGTTTGGAGGCAGCCCACGATCCCAGCACGGTGGTCTGAAGACCAGGGCGCCCTGGCCAGTGGCCCCAGGGGGAGCCCTCTCTCAGCCACGCCTCCTGAGTCCCACGGCCCCATTGGGGCTTCGGACACTCGAGCTCTTCCCAACATTTCCCGACTGAATTGTGCTCACTCAGATATTTTGCCCAACTCCTGAGCTGTGCTTTCAAATTCTGGAATTCTGCTTCAGGTCCCATAGCTGGGGAGCCTGGAGAGGAGGGCACTAACAGAAAGATGGAGGTGAGTCCTGGCTGCAGATTTGGGGGCTCACAAGATGCCCGCCCACCAGGGTCGGGTTCTAGGAACCAGTGTGAGTCTGAACCCGAAGGGCTGGACCTCAGAGCCCTGAGGGGTGTCCACCATGGCCGGTGCCCACAGAGGGAGCAGCAGGGACGCAACCACTGCAGGTGGGAGCAGCTCCAGGCTGGGCAGGGCAGGGGTGCAGACTGCAGCAGCCCTGGGATCCCATCACAAATTCACCCTTCTGTTTGGAGCTTGGCCCCTGGAGAGGTGATTTGGGGACAGACGGCTGCACTGTGCAAATGGGAGATAGAGCCACTCCGTGAAAACAGGAGCCAGGCCCAGCGTCAGCGCCAGCTGGGCTGACGGTCTTCCTGGGGGACCCTCGGAGAACCTCCCCGCCTGTCATGGTCTGCAATTCTGTAAGATGCTTCCGGGGAGAGGTTTCCCATCTCTCTGTTTTCTTTCTTCTCTCTCGGCTCTTTCTAACTCACACACCCCTCAGGAGACCTAAGGGGCTTAAGTCACAGACAAAACACTTTGCACGGTAATTGGGGGCAGCTTGGTTTTTAACTCCCAGGCACGCTCCCGCGGGCATGTGCATCAGTCACGTGCTCCCCAGACATTCCTCAGAGGAGCCCGCAGAGCAGTGGTGAGTATTTATAGCTTGGTGGACAGAGCAGCGATGACAGTGACATGTGGGGTGCAGGGCGCCCCCCCCTAGTCTATCTCCACCTCAAATGCCAGGGGGTGACCAGCAGGGGGTCGGAGGGGAGGCTTCTCAGACAATCTGGCTAATCCTCACTTGTAAATCTCCTCGGCTTTCTCCTTGACCTTGGACTGATCTCCATACTTCAGATCTTCACAGGCTTCCCAGAATCCCAGATTCTCCCCTGCACAGGCGGGCAGGGGTCCACACAGATGAAAGCCAGGCAGGAAGCAAGTCGGGGAAGAGAAAAGAAAAGCGTCTGCTGAGAATGAGCTCCTGCGTGGTGAACACCCCCGTCCCCTACAGAGGACCCCAGGTACAGGTGAGCCTGGACAGACACTCCTGGGGGGTGGGGGCAGGGGAGCCACACCGTCTCACCTCCCACGCCCGGGGTCACGGGCAACCCGGGAACCTCTCCTTCGTGCTCTTGGGAAGGAACTGCTTGCACCCAGCATGTCCCCAGCCAGGGGGTTCCCACATATTATATATGATTTGATTTATATGAAATGTCCTGAATAAGCAAATCCATGAAAGTAGATTAAGTGGTTGCCTAGGGCTGGTGTTGGGGGAGGCCAAAGGAAGGGGGTTTGGGGGGAGTGATCTGGGGAGCAGAGGAAGACAGAATAGGGAATGATTTCTAATGGGCAGAGGGTTTCTTTTTGAAGTGGTGAAATGTTCTGGATTTATAGAGTGGGGCTGGTTGCATACTTCTGTGAAGATGCTAAAACCACCGAAGTGCAGGCTCTCAAAGAGGAAATGTTAAGCATGCGAATTATATATCAATAATAAATTAATTAATTAAGTGACTCATACCTGAAACCTGAGGAATCTCACAAGGAGATACCAATAACACTCTTTTAACAGCACAGGGAAACCTTTTTTGATGGGTTCTCACTGTTACTAAGTGACGTGGGGTCCGCTCAGGCATAGTTTGTCATTTTGCCACTAGATGGCACCCCAGCCGCTTACTCGCCAGGAGCTTCTGGCCGAGGCTCAGAGGGCTCCCTTTTTCTGTCTGTATTTCCTGGGTTCACCATAGCATGGCAATTAGCCTTGAGTAGAGTGAAGGGTTTTCATAAATCCATATTATAGTGTAATGTGCTGCAACAGGCACTCATACAAGCTGATGGCATGTCCAGAGAGACTAGTTTCAGGAGCAATGTGGGACTTGAGGCCCAAATGTAACACTCCCAGACCGCGGATCCGGTAAGGAAGTGATAAACCTCATGAGAGTAAATATTTCGATGAAGGGGTGACACCAATTTAATGCTCAGCCTAATGGATTTGGTCCTAAGTAGGCCTTTGGTTTTTCCAAACGTTTCTGGAAGCAGTATAGTAACATTACAGGTGCTTACCCTGAGGAGGGATACAAAGTGTAACCCCAACGACCCTTAACACTCCAAGGGAATGGGCCATCCTGGTGGTGCAAGGGGTTAAGTGTCAGCACTACGAAGCTACCCGCAGCCACTGCAGCACAAGTTCGATCCCCCGCCAGGGAAGTGACCCACATGGCGCGGCCGACCTCTCCTGACTCGCCCGCTGCTCCCCTCAGCAGTGTATTTCGTCAGTCTGCCTGTTCTGCTCCCCACTCTGTCTCTGGTGAATCCTCTCACCCCTTCCCCCACCCTGCACACACCTCTGACCTACACCCCAGCTCTTACATGCATAAGTAAATAAATAATCTTTAAAAAAATAAGACCCCAAGGGAAGCTGACCCGGAGCCAAGGCCCAGGTTATCCATAAAAACAACACATCAAAGAATCCCTGGGGAACATTCAAAACCCCCAGAGATTCCACCCCAAACCAATTAGAAAGGCACCTCAGGATGGGATCGAGGCAAATGTGTTAAAACCTCCCCAGAGAATTCGAATGTGCTGCCTGGGGAGAGAAGCAGCACCCAGCTGAAGGAAATCAAGCAAAAAAGCCAAGCTTTGCTAGAAAAGTTAAAGACCCACCACTGAATTCTTTCTTCAGAAAGTACTGGAAGCTCTGTCGACCCTTGGGGTCTCGAATCAACTCACTGAAGTTGAATGCCCACCGCTCCACCCGCATCTTGGTGGGGACCTCCACCCTGCAAGGACAGAGAGGTGTAAGTCATCAAATGCTCAGTGTGAAGGGGGGCCGTGCCCAGGGCTCTGCCCAGACATCCCCACCCTCCCCACCCCTGCACCCATGCACAGGCCAAACAGTCGCTTGCTGGAAAAACGCAGCCTTGGCCAGTACCCCGGACTTGACCTCCAGGGTTCAGCCTTCCCAGTGGAGGGGGAGGCCCACAGTGCAGCCTCACAGTTCCATAGGCTCCCTCAGCCTTCAGGGCAAAGAATGCCAATGTCCCCATGGAGACTGCCCAGCAGAGGTCAGGCTGCCACACCGGGCCAGGCAGGGATTCAGCATATCCCGGTGACGTGCTGTGGCCACTGCTGCCTACCACACAGGCACCCCTCTGGAGTACACGTGGACACGCACCCCTCGCCCCACACCATTTATCATCTGTGCAGCGACCCCAGCACCTCTTCTCCGAAGCCCACCCCTCTTTCCCTCCTCCCTGTTCCCAAAGGTCTCCCTGAGCCCAAGTAGGACATTCGAGCTTCGCTGGCTGAGCTCTAACATTCTAGGAAATCACAAAACTCAAGGGTTTTTCTCTCATTCCTCTGGAATCCCCCCATAATCCAACACAGACCCTGGAAGCAAAGGTTTCCAAGCCCACAGCATCACGCCAGCTACAGGAGTTGTAGCTGCAGCATGAGCAGGGCCTGAGGTTCAGCTCCAGGGGCTCAGGACCAGCCAAGCCAGGATATGAAGCCCGGGTAACAGCGCCAGGACACCAAAAATGGAGAAGGGTATGGCACGGGGCTCCTAGCTCAAAAGTCATTCTTTTAAAGCCCCAGCAGACAGAACACATACAATTTGGCATTCAGGTCCCAGAACTGGGTGTCATCGGAGATCCAGGGGTTACTGGGGAGGCAGCCTGACATGAGGGCGTCATTGGAAGAAAACTGCTCGCTGTATTTGACGATCCTGAAAAGCAAATGCAAAACCAGCTCCTAGAAGTCCCACGCCCAAGACATGAAATCAATACTCAGGTTGGCTGACCAGCTGCCCTGCTTTTCCTATATTGACTCAATTACACACGTGTCACTGTCTTCTTAGAAAACTCAACCCTCAAGACTGCTGGGTATCTGATGAGCTCTGTCCCGGTTCTACTTGTGAAACGAAACATCTCCCAGTCCGATCGTTTTGTTGCTTTGCTTTGTGAAAATACAGCCGCCTTACATTTTTCAAAATCCCAAACCAACTCTATCTGCCCCCGTTCTGGGGCCCAACCCAGAAGCACCGGGTTGCAGGGACTCCCTGAGGTTCTGTTGTCACAGTGAGTGCTGCCCGGTCAGGCTAATGCCTGTGTCTGGAACTCAGACCCATTATTCAAGACCTGTGGTCTCACTGAGTGAGGGGTGACTCTGCAAGACTTCAAGTCCATCTAGTCAAGTTGGAGCATCTGAGCTAACACGTTTCCCAGTATTGGGGCAGTTTGGGAAAACCTGGCATGCCCCACCCCCCACTGGGGAGCGGTACCCACAGGATACTCAAGGTCCCACCACCATGGGACAGGGCCCCTGAGACAGTTCAGAGCCCGAGAGTGAGCTGGGCAGAGCCCACACCTCTTCATTTCCCCCAAGGCCTTCTTAATCTCCCATCAGATCTTTGCAGAAGGGAAGGAAAAAAGCCAGCCCACAAGCCCAAGCAGGACTGGCGTCAAAACTATAGTAAAAAGGCACTGAGATCAGTAAAAATTGAAAAGTGGGTCTAAGGAGTTTCCAGCAGCCTTGAGTCTCCTTCAAGTTCCTTCCTATTTAGTTCCATGAAACCGGGTTTCTCAAACATCAGAGTACACTTATCTGAGAACAATCTGCATCGTTATAACCCAAAGCGACACTCACAGAGCACACGCACTCTCGGTGTGATCCGGGCTTAGCAGCGACAGAAAGAGGTCGCTGGAGAACGTGAGTGAGGTCAGGGCACATTTTCATGGGCAGGAGGGATTTTTGCAAATTAGGGACTGGGGAAGATACCAAAAGATATCTGAAGGTTTTTACAAGAGGTTACGGTGACCCCTAACCAGCTTGGAAGAGAGACACTGCACAAAACAAAGCATCTCTCTTGCCTCATTATTGCTTAGCCCTCACCAAGACCAATAAACAGGGACCATACCCTCCAAGGGACACAGAAGACTTCACGGTGGACCTCATTAAAGCCTGTTGGTAATACATGATCTGGAAGAGAGAGAATTGTTAGAAAAATCCAGTTCCCTGCCCTGCTGTGTCAGCAGCTGACACTCACATCTGCCCTCCAGAACGACACCCGTCCCACACCCTCAAACCAGCCACCCAGGACAAAAGGACTGAGTCACCGTAGACAGGTGACACCAAGCGCCAAATTAGGAGCCTCCTGTATCGTTATAACCCAAGGCAATGCCCATGGAGCACACGTGCTCTCATCTGTGATCCAGGCTCAGCTAACTCACATGTGTTAATATGGAAAAGGCACCATTGAAAACAGTAAGTTCTAAGGAGCATTAAAACTAGACCCAGGAACAGATGCTTGGCTTTCCCTCATGCACCTCTGGCTGACCGAAGCAGGTCTAACTTCATAGCCAACACTTCCCAGAACTCAGTCTTGGGTCCTGTATACAAGATTTGCCACCTGGAAGATTCTGAAGGGCCCTGGTTCTGGAGGAGCAAGGATCAGCTGGTGATGCAGATACCCTGAAACCTTTGCTCCCCCATTTCTCAGTTCTGTGGCTTCTGAGGATGTTTCCTACCCCAGCTCTCCGCATAAGACCCACTCAGGGCCTCCCCGGTGGCGCAGTGGTTGAGCGCTGGGTTGCGAAGCTGCCCGCGGCCTCTGTAGCGCCGGTTCGATCCCCGGCTGCTCCCCGGCCACCAGAGGAGGGTCCCACATGGCGCGCAGACCTCTCCTGCCGCCCGCTGCTCCCCTCAGCAGTGTACTTCGGTCCTTCTGCCTGCTCTGCTCCCCGCTCTGGCTCTGGTGAATTCTCTCACCCTCCCGCGCTTCTGACTGTACCCAGTGCATGTATAAACAAAACAAACAAACAAACAAACAAATAAATAAATAAATAAAACATGCCTCTATAAAAAAATTAAAAAAAAAAAAAAAAAAAAAGACCCACTCAGATCAAACAAAAGATGCTTTGTCATTCTGTGCCTCCGTTCATTTGGAAACAATTGTTTGGAGGTTCCACGTGGCTTTCATTTCATTACCGAGTGCAGAGCAGAAAGCCAAAGCACATAGAATCTGTTCAGGATTTGAAATCAAATTTTGCTGGAATTGGGAGACTAATTACCTCTTTTTTAACAGCGGTGATTGTTTGTTTCTGTAAAACAAAGAAGCAAAACCATTAAACAGGGGCCATTAAATGACAGTTCCAATACCCACTTGAAAAATAAAAATCCTTCCCCAGGAGGGAACTGGTCCTTTTCTTACTTAAAAGCAGACTCTCCCCACCTCCACCACCTCCACCCTATTCTACGCAGCCACTGGAGAATTAGGCCAAGTAAGAGCTGGGATGAGGGAAGAGTGTGATTTACCACTGTAACTTTACCTTGCCCTCCTAAAAGCCAAGGTAAATTAAAGACTGAATGTGGGGTTGGTCCCAAGCTACCATAGTTGTAGCAACAGAGCCACCGGAGATGGACTCTGAGGGATAAAGATGGGAAAACACACAAGATGCAACTTGAGTGTTTCTTTTCTCACGAGAGAGTTCTAAAGGAGCCGGGATATTCATTCCTCAGGTATGCCTAACAATTTGACCAATACCACAAGTGAAAAAAGAAAAGCCGCATAATCAAAAACAAAACACACAATTAACAAACTTAAGACCAGCACCCACTGAAAGCTGAGGCTCAGCGTGGAGACATAATTTGGAAGATCCTATCAGGACCCAACCTTTCACTGAGGCTGCAGAGCTTCATCCTGGGGGCCAGCTGGATGGACTCATCCAGGACTCATAAAGGACTCATACAGTCCTTTCTCTGGACTGTATGAGTTACAGCAGAGAAAGGCTGGCTGCAAGAGGGACTCCATGTTAGGATCTTAGAAACTCCTGGAAACCATCTGTCTCCTGAAATCTTCTACACTCTGACAAATCTTCTACACTCTGAGCCTTCCTGTCTCAGTTTTCTGAGGTTTGGTTGTGTTAGGGGCTACCTGGTGCTGACTCTTATACTTCAAGCTGAGCATTTTAACTCTTAGCTGCAAATATCTATGCTGCTTCATGCAACCAAGTCTTCCCTTGAAATAGAGTCAGAAGTCACTGGAAGATGTGATTTCCCTTAGCCAGTTAGTAAAACAGTGCTGGCCCAGAGTCACTGACAAGGAAAGAAGGTGGGTCTGATCTGGAAGGGCCACATTCTCTTGCCTTTCTAATTCAAAGCAATATTTACTCGGGTTGCTTCTACAAAAACAGTGCTGGCCCAGAGTCACTGACAAGGAAAGAAGGTGGGCTGATCTGGAAGGGCCACATTCTCTTGCCTTTCTAATTCAAAGCAAAATTTACTCGGTTGCTTCTACATAATTGCTTTTCACTGGAAACCTTTTTGGCTGGGTGGGGAAGTAGAGAGCATTATCTCAGAAAGGTAAAGCCCAGGTGGGTGTCTCTGCTTTGCACTCACACACACTCCTCCTTCCTATCACTCATCACGGTTGTAATTATATCTTTGTTTGCATGACTCTGTTTAATGTACATATTACCCACAAAGAACCAGGAAGAGCAGGGAGGCCATATCTACCCTCCCAGCTTAATGTCTGGTGGAAAGTAGCTGCTTAACAAATAGCAAATAAATGATAATCCCAGTGCGCTCAGTGGCCCAGAAAGATGGAGATATATATTCTAAGCTTAATAGATTATTTTTCCACTTAAAAATTTAAAACACTCCCCCAAAGGATCCAAATTGTTTTGGCAACACACTGATGTCCTGCTCCTGTTCTCTCCAAACACAGGACAGGTTTTTAGAAGATGCACGTTTCAGGTCAAAAAGGGCCCTGGGGCCAAAGTGCATTTGCAGTCAGATACTGCAGTGAGATTCTCCTGTTAGATGCTGAAGCTGATTATTAAGAATGGTATCTGCTGATCTACGTCCTCTGCTCAAAGAGGAAGCTGGACTTCAGTGTAATAATAACCACCTAGTGCAAAGCAATTTACACCTCCCTGAGCCCTTACAACGTTTAAAAGAAGGAGGGTTTATTATTCCACTTTTCAACTGAGCAAACCTAGGCTCTGAGAGGTTCTGGACAATTTTCTCAGCATCTCTTTTTTGGTAATTGGTCAAGATTCAAACCTAGAACTACCCTTTACAGTGATCCATGAGAAAGAGAAAATAGCCTGCTCTCTTCTTCAATTCCTCCCTTGCCCTGGAGCTGTGAAGCCACAGGATGAAAAGACTCTGCCCAGTCGCTTTATGTAAAAATAAAACAAAAAAGAGAATTAAATCCCTATCACAAGATGAAACACAAACACAGGAAGCACTCTTTAATTAATGTTGATGATGGTAAAACAAACTCCCAGCTACAAGATAAATAAGATCTGAGGAGCTAATGCACAGCATGTGACTATAATTAACCACACTGTATCATACACTTGAAAATTGCTAAGAAACTACATCTTAAATGTTATCACCAAACACACACACAAAGAGACACACGCACGTCATAATTATGTGAGGGGAAGGAGGAGCTAATTGTGATAATCATTTTGCAAAATATGCAAATATCTGATCATCATATTAATATTACACACCGTAAACTTCTGTAAGTTATATGCCAATAATATCTCACTAAAACTGGCGGTGGGGAATCATTAATGATGTAAAGATCCTAATCATGCTGTACCCCTCCCTCCCTGCTCAGAAGATACTGTCATTTCAAGTACCAGAACCCAAAATGTAAATTCCTGTCAGCCATTGCTCTGTGGACACTTCCTGTCAGCCACTGTTTTGTGGCCACTTTCTATCATCCACTGTTCCGTGGCCACTTCCTGTCAGCCACTGTCCCGTGACCACTTCCTGTCAGTCACTGTCCCGTGGCCACTTCCTGTCAGCCAATGTTCTGTGGCCACTTCCTGTCAGTCACTGTCCCGTGGCCATTTCCTTGCAGCCATTGTTCTGTGGACACTTTCTATCATCCACTGTTCTGTGTCCACTTCCTGCCAGCCATTGTTCTCTGTGGCCAGTAAGACTCCTGCAGGGATGAACACAGATGAAATGAGCCAGATTCTTAGTCCTGATGTTCTCTGCACCCCAAGGGAGCTATCCTTACAAGTCAGTCACCCACACATTCATTTCTAGTCGACCTAACATGGTCTGACTTTGGACTAATATGTTCGTCTCTGGGGCCATTTTCTCAATATTAAGCGTTTACAATTTTTTATATTTTTATTCACTTCATCTGATTTATTACCTTTGTAGGGCTCTGAATTGATGGTATGGTTTACTGTGGCTTTCTGATCCCCAGAACTTAGCAGCCACCTTTTGGGAATCAGAGAGCAGTGGGTTCGCTTGAAACCGAGGCTTTCCTACCTCACCTTGGATTGTCTAATGGATTTTTAGCATTAATTTCTAGCTTTGAAAATAGATGCCCCTCGTCCAGCTTCCTCTAGATTGATATGCTGAGGATCTCTGACCTTATAGGGGTTTGTGTCTATCAGGGTGTTGGTGGAAAGGCTTCTAGACTTTTCTAAAAGACAAAGAGCGAATTTGATCAAGAGGGGGATGGGGGAGAGGTGAGGATGGTTCAGGAAAGAGGCTGCACTCTGGTATCAGACTCAAGTCCCTGTCCTGCTTCTGGCGCCCACATAGCTTTGGATGAGTTATTAAGCCTCCAAAAGCCTCTGTTTTCTCCTTTATAAAAAGGGAATAGGGAAAAAGGAGGGTTGAACGAGATAATAGACACAGGCAACCAGCACAGCAGAGACTCAGCACACACTGGCTGTTGATTTGGGCTCATATACTCTCCTGAGAATAACAGCGTTAACCCTCATCACAGAATAAGGTAGATGCCCCTGCAATCTTTAAAACTATACTAGCAACAAGAAAAGCTGTTCACTGTTTACCTGAAATTCAAATTTAACTGGTCATCCTGTTTTTATTTGCTAAATCTTACTATCAACATTATTATTGATTTGTCAAACGTGATAAGAAACATTGATTTAAAGAAAAGCAAAGTTATTAAAAATTACATGATCACACATACTTCTAAGCAATTCAAAAAAAAACCACCTTAAAGAAAATAAGGAAACATTTTCACCCTGGAGTTCATGCACAAATCCCTCGCTTTCCCAGCCTTTCATTCCTGCTGGCGTGAAGTCACTTCTTGAGCCCTCATCCTTGGCTGCAGAGGGATGCCCTGCCTGAGGATCCTCAAATTCCCTGCATTCCTGGAATACTGTCTTATTTTTTTTCCACTTGCAGCGTTGTCCAAATAGGGACACAGTGAGAGCTTGTTTACACAGCTCCGTGGCCAGCTTGTCAGCCTGAAGCCCGGATCCGGCCGCAGACAATTGTCAGGGCAGGCGGGGTCACGGGGTACACTGCAGGCGGGAGCGAAGGAGCCAGGGAGAGAGGCAAGGCCCTGGGCTCAGGCAGCCAGGCAGGCACCTGCGCAGACACAGCAAGGGGCGGGCAAGCCAGGAGCAAAATGCAGATGGGGAGAGCCGTGAGAAGTGGGGGATCACAGACACTGAGGGTCAAAAGGGGATATCTGGAACTGAAGTGGTTAATGCGAAGCAGACAGGAAAAGAGAAAGGCGAGGCTGTCCATGGAGACAAGAGTTCAAGGCTGTGACCATCTGATGTAGTATCTGTCCTGCCAGGTACTTCCTGCTCAGGGGAAGGGGAAGGCAGCCCTGCCTGCAAGCTGTAGGACCCGGTGCAAAACGAAATGCAGGATCCTTGCCCTGACAGATATACGCATACGTGCATACATTAAACATACGTTGCAATGGAATACATGTAAAATACTGTGAGATAATATGTACATATAGTAAACCAAGTGGGGTCCCGACTGACCGTAGGGAGGACCCTGGGCCAGCATATAAATCATCTGCCCAAGAACCTGGCCTTGCAGCAGGACCAAAGGGCAGGGCTAGGGGCAGGTAGGGGGATAGGGGTGTCAGGGAAAGGCAAGAGCTATAGAACAAAAGGGGAGACCTAAATTTGATCCTGGCTGGGCCAGCGTGGGCAAACTGCTAAATGTCTGCCTCTATTTTGTCATGAAAAATGGAACTGCTGTTCCTTCTTTATCAAATCCCTTGAGAATTTAATGAAATCCCACACACATCCAGAAGCCATGACACAGACATCAGGCCCCACAGTGGACGTGGAGTGGGTTGGATTCCGGTCAGCCAAGGGTCAAATCCCTACTTCACCATGTCCCAGTGTGTCTTGGCGAAGTGGCCCAGTTTCCCTGCCTATCCTCTCACCTCTGAAACTGAAATGGTAACGAGACCCACTGCCTCCTCAAGTTGTGAGTCATCCCTGAGCCGGGACCTGGGGGAGCCCCTCAGCCCCACGCCAGGCCCCAAGCCCTTAGAGTCACCCCTTCCCCGCCAGCACCAGTCACTAGGGGGCCACAAGAAAACCGTCCCCACTCAGAGGGTCCGTGGAGGGAAGCTCTCACTCACTGAGGCCCCAGGCTCTGCAGAGCACAGAAACTAACATGTGGGGCCATGTTTCTGCCTTTCACCCCAAGACCAGTGTGCAGACCAGCACCAACTGGGCTGCTCTCAGCAGCTGTCTATAGGGCTAGGCAAGGAGGGTGCAACAGGAATCTCATGTAAGGGCAGAAGAAAAAATTGACTAGAAAACTGATGGCCCCCAAAACAGGGTCGAAGGTCCTTGGGGCCACAAAAATCCTCTCCCTCAATATTTGGGGGAGTGTCCACACTGGCGACCATTCTAGACACTTGGAGACATTTCACAAATGAACTCATTTAACCCTCCAGGGAAGGAGTGATCATCATTCCCAAGTCTTATTAGATGAGGAGACTAAAGCTTCGAATGGCTCCAGGGCTGGTCCCAGGCCACAAGCCCAGGCAGCAGCAGAGCTGGGGCTCACCCCCAAGCTAGCTCCCCTCAGCATGCCCGGCTGGCCTCCTGAATGACCATGTAACCCTGTCGGGATCGAGGGAGGAAGGGCCAGCTCTGGACACCACTGCCCAGCCAGGCCAGGGGCTGGCTGCCACTCTGCTTCTACTTCAAAGGTCAAATGCTCCCTGAATTAAAGGGAAAGCAGGGGGACTCTGTCCACTTGGCACCCCGTATGCCTCCAGATAATGGAACCGAGAAAGATTTCTCTGGGGGTGGCCCCAACCCCCAATACCAGGCCTGTTCCTCCTAGGACCGGGCAGCCACACTGGCCAGAGACCCTCAGCCTGAGGCGCTGGGTCACCCAGGGCCCGGGACTCTGCTGGCCGAGCCTCCTTTCTGACACTTGATGCTGCTTGTCTTTGGGGTTTTTTGCCTGCGTTTCAAGAGAACAGATCTCGTTTCCAGTTACTAATGCTCAGAAATGGCATATTCTCTCTGCAAGCTAGCTCTGCTCCGAACAGAGACAAAACTAGGACACCGTTGTACTCCCAAGGCCTCATGAAGATACTTCATGTTCTGGGCCCCTCTCCCCTCAGGGCAGATAAACACAGCAAAAGAAGGGGTGTTTGTGGGAAACGCTTGAGGCTGATAACACAGCCCCCGCCTGCCTTCCCAAACCGCTGTGTGTGCGAGCCGCTGGGGTGGGGGCAGGGCCGCAGGGGCCAGTTGGCATGAAATGACAGCTCTTTGTTCTTCTTGATATTCCACAGTGACCCGGGTGCACAGATCGGAGAAAGAGAGCTGGTGGGAGAAAAAGAGACAGAGAAGATGAGGGTAAACCAGAGAGAAGCACCCCGTGGCCAACACCAGCAGGGCGGAGACAGCCCCTGCCTCACACACACTGAGGGCACCGCCAGTATCTGGCAGGAAAGGATTTTGAGATCCAAAGGCAAGCTCCCTGCCTCTCCCTGAGCTGAAGTTAAAGTACACACACACACACACACACACACGCATACACACATGCACACACATGCATACACACACGCACGCGCACACACATACACACACATGCATACACACGCGCATGTGCGCGCACCCACACAAAAAATCGCGTGCGCACACGCACACACGTGCGTGTAATCCTGGCTGGCTGGGGGCAGACTGAGCAGTGTGCTTTCCACCTCGACCCTCCCCTCCTCCAGAGAAGCTTCCAGAGCTGCCAGTTATCCTTAAAAAAGGCAAATCTTCTACCAGGGTTCAGTGCTTTCCCTGATGATTTTGTTTCCATGGAGACAGAACCTACCAGGCCTCGGCAATTACCTGTTCTCTGAGGCAGGGAGCGTGGAGAAGGCCGGGAAGCTGACGGTGCCAGGTGTGGGTCAAAGGTAAGGTCACCGTGTGCTGGGGACAAGGTACCTCAGGATGTCCCCCCAGGACGCCCTCTGGCACTGGGGGGGGGGGTACCCACTGACATCTTGAGTTCCAGATCCAAATGAGCCAAAGTTCACACACATCACAGAGCTGCCTCGCCTTGTTTTTCCTGCTCCCTCTGCCTTCTCCTGCCTCTTGCTTCTCCCTCTTTGCCCACTTGGGCCTGAAGGCTTGAAGAGGACAGAGAGAGCCCCAAGCCCTCCCTGACCAAAGACAGCATTCAACAGGAGGCAGCGAAGTCTCTCAGACTAGTTAATATGAGCTTCAGGCTGGTTTAGTGGGATCAGTGAGTCTCCACCGGGCAGTCCTGTCCCCCCGGGGTACACTGGACAATGGGTGGACTCAGCACGTCAGACTGGGAGGCCAGCAGGAAAGGCAAAGATCCTAGGCCGAGGCCATGGCTGCTCCCCGACACCCCACAGGAAGCCCTAACCTGGACACTCATGACCGACGTTTCTTTAAATAAAAAACCCCACAGGAAATTGAAATCGGTCATCCGTCGTGAATGGCGGCCTATTGAGGGACAGGGTCCTCATCAAAGAAATTTTTAAACAAAACTTAAAAAAAAAAAGGTGGAAATTGTTTGTAAGATTGCCACCCCACTGACATGTGAAATTCCAGGGGGAGTAAGGTCTAAAGCCAACTCTGATTCCAGGGTGTTGAGCCTGCAGCTTCTAGTTGCCAGGGGCCTGGGAACTGGCTGAAAATGGGCGGAATGTCTGTGTATTTGGATAGAAGGGTTCATAGCTGGCAGCAGATTTTCAAAGGCTTTTCTGTGGTTCAGAAAAGTCTACAAACCCGCTGTCTGGTCACAGGGCTGTGCTCTGCAGTCTCTCCAGGTTCAGGCCCCAGGCCATGGCCTCCCTGCTCTGACCCTCACACCATCTGCAGCCTCATAGCCCGACCCAGGCCTGCCCACAGTCTGCAGCAGACACCCACCTGGTTTACCTGAACTTCATTCGGATTGGTCACGCGATCCAGGCCATAGTCCAGCACATTGTTCATCCCTGGCTGGATGGAATAAAAATAACATAAGGATCGCTCCAAGGAGATTCTGATTAGTTTTAGAAGTTGACAATTATTAGATTGAGCTGAGAAGGGCTTGTGGCCCAGCCCACATGGGGCTATGAGGGTAAATAGAGGGGCTGCATAAGCTGGTGAGTTGTACTGGGGCTGTTCTACTATCATGGCATCCAGGAACAGAACATGGTGGAATGGATAGATGGGTAGATGGGTGGATGGATGGATGGATGGGTGGATGGATGGATGGGTGGGTGGATGGATGGATGGGTGGGTGGATGGATGGATGGGTGGGTGGGTGGATGGATGGATGGAGCCCCATAAGAGCTCACTAAGATTAGTACATGTGATTCCTGCCTCCTTCCCACTGGGGGAATGCTTTAAAGAATCCAGACATCAATCAGCATGTCTTTTCAAAACTGGAGGAACCTCCTAGTTGTGAGGAAGATCTTGGAAGTACTTCCCTCTCTGCAGGCACTCTCCCTTCTGAGAACTAGCAATAAGCCCCCTACCTGTCAGGCTCTGGCGAAGATTTAACAAGATGGGGTGTAAGGCTCTCAGCACAAGTCCACGGCTGAGCCAGGGGCAGTACCACTCTAAGGTCATGTATGCAAAGGCCTGACCCAAACCTGTGTCTTAGTTTTCATCAGTTCCTTTCTCCACTGGATCACTTAACTCTCTAGATGCTCTCTTGTTTCCTGGAGGCCAATAATAAGGGTTTCCTGCTTCCCTCTGAGCTGGTTGGGTGCCAGGCACCCATCAGTCACTCAACACCCGTGACTAATCAGGCTGACTGCCCCAAAGCAGAGGCAGGGAGCACCCGGTTTTAGTCTCATCAATAGAATCCACCACATTTTTAGCTCAGCAGTAAGGCTGCCAAATAAAACATAGGACGCCCAGTTTGAAATTTGAATTTCAGATGAACAACAAGTGATTTTGATACACAATCTTATATAAAAATATACTCCATATGTTTCAGTATAAATACACAATAAGTATAAAAAATATTGAGACGTAAATCATTGACTGCTTATCTGATATTCAGATTAACTTGGCACGCAGTTGTATTTGCTGAGTCTGGCATCCCCGTTCATCAGGCTACTGGGGGCAACCACTGGACATACAGTGGGCGAGAAGGGGAAGAAATAGAAAGTAAGTGGGGAGGAGAACAAGGCAAAGAGGCTAACATGTCCTCGCCCTGGTGGTTACACGTGGACCTCGAGCTGCAGATGTTTGTCGGGCGCTTACGAGCACAGGCGTGCACTTGCCCTGGGGACCCGCAGTGAGGGTCACAGGGACGCCTCAGACATTCCCAGCAACCATCTCCTGGCATTCCAGCCTCCTGGGGAAGCAGCCACTTGTCAGTTAACCCTGCAGATGACAAGAGGCGCCAAGAGACAATAGAGAAGCCCGAACCTGTGCTAGTGGGCCCCTGCTGAGCGCGGAGGAGCCTGCACTGGGTGGGGGGTGGGGGGGTGGGAGGTCTAGAAATTGCCTCCCCCCCACACAGAGTGACCGAAGACATCACACACACATTCACACTCACACCATCACACATTTGCACAGTCACCCTTTACCTCACACCACCTTAGACTCAAAGATACACCCTTGGCTTACACACTCTCACACTTAGAACTCACACCCTCACCTCACAGGCAGGAATGCACAACTTCCTTACATACAGTCACATGTGTTTGCACACTCATGTATTTGCACACTTACATTCATTGATGCACACTCTCACCTACATGCACACACATACTCATGCATACACACCCTCACACTTAGAATTTACTCATTCACATGATCACATGCTTGCATACACAGGCTGTGACACACACTCTTTGACTCACATACACACCCTCATGCTTGCTTGTATATCCTCACACAACTCACACTCGCACACACTCACACACAAGAATATACTCATATCTACACTCACACATATATCCACGCTCACATGTTGGCACACACATGTTCACATAAACTCACATGCATGCACACCCAGGCCACACCCAAGGAGCCTTGACAGTCTGGCCAGCTGCCCTTGCACAGGCTTGCACTGGCTCTGCAGCTTCAGTGCACAGATCCTGAGCTCCTCCAATTCTTCCCTTTGAACTTGACCCCCTCTGATAAATCCAGTGCTCAACAGTGCACCCACATAACCATGTTGTCACAGGGTTCTCAGAGCTGTAACCAGCCCCAGGCTTCATTACTCTGCCATCCTGCCAGTGCCAGCCCCTCCTGACTCTGCAGCCACAGAACAACCAGGATATCCCCCTGGCTGCCCAGCACCAGGCATCACCTCTCAGGACCCCAGTGGCCTCAGTCATTCCCTGCAAGCTGGGGTCCCTTCTCAGAGCCCCGCCTTCAGAACTCCCCCTAGAGCTGCCTGTGTGGGGACATGGGCCCCTGCCCCAGGCTCTATTCATTCACTCCTTCATCAAGTGGCATCAAGTCTTTGGTCTCTTGGGCCTCCCTGGTGGCGCAGGGATTAAAGTCTCAGCACTGTGAAGCTATCACCAGCCACTGCAGCACAAATTCGATCCCGGGCCAGGGAGCTGACCCACATGGCGCGGCAGACCTCTCCTGTCTCCCTGCTGCTCCCCTCAGCAGTGATTTCAGTCAATCTGCCTGTTCTGCTCCCCACTCTGTCTCTGGTGAATCCTCTCACCCCCCTGCACCTCTGGCCTGCACCCCAGCTCTTGTAGGCATAAATAAAAAAAAAAATAAGTCTTAAAAAAAAAGGCTTGGTCCCTGGGACAGTCACCAGAGTCACTGCAGATAGTTTCTGGCTCGCAAGTGGGTGGCTCGCAAGAAGATAGATAAGCAGAGCTGATTGTGTGCGCTAGTAGCAACCAGCAGTATCCCTGCGGCAGGTGGCAGCAGATAAGGAGGCACACAGGTGCATTCAGCCCATCACCAGGACGCCCACGAGCAGCCCCCGCCGTGGACGGGGGTAGTGACTGCCTGGACAGATGCCCCAGCTCCACCCCTTGGGCTTCAGCCAAAGTGGCAGTTTGCTATGCTCCGTAATTCAGATGAGGAAAGGCCCTTCCGTGCCCCACCACCCACAGCTCCAGGAAGCCATTCCCAGAACCAGCCCTCCAGAGCAGGGCACCGCCCGGTGAGCTCTGTCCTTCTCCCCCCTAGCATGTCAGTCAGACCCTCTCGGTGCATGTGACAGAAAACAAACAATAAATGAAACACCAGATGGTTTCCTAAACAAAGGAAAGCGGGGAAGAGATGGAGAGACGTGGGCTGAAACAGGGAGGTGAGTTCAAATGGAAGGGTCAGAGAAGGGGACCCCAAGCAGATCTCGGCTTCAGTATCACTTCCAGCAAAAGGTGCTCCCAGACCCCCATGCAACGGGCCCTGCTCTCCGAGCTATCCCTGTGTTGTGCACGTCACACATCCAGGTGTGCCATGGCCCCGGTCTCCGTCTCTCCACCAGGCATCGGGAGCTTCCTGTGGGCCAGGACCACATCTGTCTTGGCTCATTGTCCTGGTCCCTAGTAAGTGTCTGGCGAAGACCGTGTGTGGACCATGAACATTGCACTTGTTTGAATCTGGATCAGAGCAGATGAAGTTTTCCATCCTGCTTTTGTGATATCATCTTATATGCTGGGCGATTTCCTTGCGTCAATAAATGGCTTTGGAAGATATTATTTTAGCAGTTTCACAACATCCCACCCTGTGGGTAGATTTTCATTTGTCTTGCTATTCTCCATTTTAGACATTCAGCCCAACCTCATCAGGAAGCGGAAGGCCGCCATCTCTCCCCGCCCCCGGCACAGGCGGACCTGGTACATGTCTGCATTTGTGGTTGAAACAAGGTCCATGGAGCTTGACATTTGGTAAGTGACAATTTCACTCAAGCGTACACCACCCGAGGCAGCCTGCCCCAGACCAGGGCTGAGCAGAGGGCCAATTCCTTGGCGACACAGAAGCCACAGAGAGGGGCAGCAAAGTCACACGGGAGCCCCACAGTTGCATTTCTAAAGGCGCCGTGTCTCCTTCTGTCCATTTACACAACTAGCTGTTGTCTGCATCCTGCCCAGATCTGTGTTTGGTTCCCTTTGGGTAAGAAATGGAAGTGGTGTGTGGTTTTCCTTCTTGTGGGACGCTGGGTCACACTGAGCTCAGCACGGGAACTGGCTGCTGTCAGAGCCCTCCCCACCACCACCACTGACCTTGGCCTCTGCCGTGGCCATGATCGACTGTCATCCCTTCCCCTCCCTTAAATCCACCATCCCTGGCTGTGCCCCCAGCACTGGGGGCTTATCTCTGGGAGAGCACTGCTCACCTGAGTGATGGCTATGGCTATTTGGATTTTAATATCCCTTGAGCTGAGAGGAGGCACCACCCCTGGGTGCTCCCTCCAGAGCAGCGTCATGTCAGATAACAGGGATTCACACCCAAGCACTGCGCAAGGTGCCACCACTTTCTGGGCCTCGGTCTTCCCATCTGAGCAGTGGGACAATGATTCACCGCCACCAGGTGAAGTAGATGACCTTGCGGAGAGCTTACACCACACTCAGTGTCACTCCCAGTGGCGTGGTATGCCCAGCCCCGAGCCCCACAGCTGGCAGAGTCAGGCCCCATGCAGGTTCCATGGACTCATGAACAGACATGCAGACAGGAGCTCAGGGACGCAGGCCTGTCCCTGCTCCAGCATGGGGAACGTTCTGTCCACAGATGGGCTGCCTGGCTGGCTGTCCTCCCACAGAACCGACAGTTTGTTTGGGTCTCCTGGAGACAGTCCCGAAGATCCTGGGCTCCCTGGCCCATCAGTCAGATTGTGCAGATTCCAGGACAGCTGACGTCACATGGGATGCTCTTCCGGCAGCACGAGCCCCTCACCTCCCAGGCCGCCGAGGGCTGAGTGTTCTAAGGCAGGACTGCAGGCTCCAGATGCACTCAGCCTCATCTTTGACAAACTGTCCAGTTCTGACTTCTGGCAGCACCAGTGAGATTAGGGGTGAAGAGCAGTTTAGCAGCCGAGGAGGTTTACAATTGCTACCAAAGCCTCCTTCTGAGCCTTGGGCCCGCAGTGCTCACAAAGCCCCAGGCACACGGGGAAAAGAGCTTAACTGCGCTAAGACACAGCCGTAGGATAGGAGGGAGGCCCTATGACCCGTGGGTCCCTATCAGTGTCAGATTAGCCAACTGTCAACATCCCTGAGCCTCAGCTTATCACCAAAATGGGGGTAAAAATTCTGCCTTCCACACAGAGGTACAGGTGAAATGAGACAGGAAATGCGGGAGGAGGCAGAATCAGGTCAACCATGAAGATAACAATGGCAGAGCTGGGGATGGGAGTAAGGAAGTGGGGTAGTAAGGGACTGGGGGTGGGGGGTGCCTTGGCCATGAGGGAATTAGGAATCACAGAGACATGCTGTCACGTTTATGTCCTCTGAGTCACATTGGCCACCACCATCGCTCAGCCATTTCCCTGCTATGGGGGCTGAGAGCTCACGCCAGAGAACTTGGGTCACTGCTTCTTTTCCCACCTAGCTGAGGGGCAGAGGGCAGAAAGGGACTTGGCAGGTCATGTGTGCAGCAGTCTTGACCACTTTGCAAAGCGCGCCGTCACACTGGCACACCCACCCTGCAACCCGCCCACTACCTGCAACCCGGAAGCCACGGTCCATCCTTCAAGGAGCAGGATTCCCTTGTCCCAGGGCTGCTGGGCACCAAGGCATCTTGCCAGATGGGTGGCTTTCTGCTTTATTCCCTCCTCCTCACTAGTCTCCCCATTAGGAAGAGATGACCCCATGCAGGCTGAATAATGAAATACTGCTGAGCCGCCGAGGAACAGGCGTGAGCTTGGGGCTCTCTCCCCAGCACCCCGTGCTCAGTCATCACCCTTCACCCAGCCCCCTAGGTTCCCGTGTGGGCAACTGGTTTGTCTACAGGAGTCCTGGAAAGAAGCAAAATCAGGCAAACTTCTTGGGCATCCACCCCCGGACCTTATCTTCGACGAGACACCCAAACTGATGCACAGAGAGAACATCTTCACTTTCCAGGATCCCTTCACCTGGTCTCCACCCTGATCTGTAGCCAGCACATGGGTCAGACACACGAGGAAACTGAGGCAGCAGAGCTAACCACAGTGGGGGAAGATTCTACAGCACTAATGGACAAGCCTAGAGCCCTCTGCAGAGACAGTCTGGGAGCCAGAGACACTGGCGCTGTGAGCAAGAGGCTCAGTGCCCAAACTCCTCACCTCCTCCCAGCTCAGCAGGGGGCACTGGGTCCAGAAGAGGAGGGGAGGGCCAGCTGGCACCGGGCCTGGATCTGGCGATGCAATTTCAGTGCTCTACAGCATTTTGTTTTTCTGCTTTGGCGCCTGTGTTCTTTTTTTCTTCTTCTTATATTCCTTTTCCAAAGCACACTGAACAAACCAACAAAAAGTCCTACCCTCCTGAAGGCAAACTCACCCAGGTCCCCCCCTTAGGATTCTGCACCTCTTATCCTCAGCAAGGGCTCACCCAGGGCCCAGGAGACCAATATGCTTCCTCTTCCAAGCAAGCAGGGTGGGGGGCAGCCCTCCTGCTGATTCAGTTCTAGCTCCAGAGGGAATGAGCCAGCGAAAGGTGTGGTGATACAGGAGGAGGGAGAGGAGGGAGGTACCAAGCCGGAGGATACTCACAGGGCACCGGTGCACCAGCCAGTACGCCTTCTCCTGGCAATCCAGGGCATACCTGTCTGCCTTGTTCCTTTCCTTTCCAGTCCTGAAAGACCAAAAGCCAAGTCAGAGACCAGTGGCCTGCTCTGCAATGCTTCTGATTCCTGATGACCTCTGGGGTTGCTTTCATCGTGATAAAAACATAAAAAAACATAATAAAAACATCACACAGATGTACCAGGTGCCCAGAGTACTTTCACCTGCATGAACTTATTCCATCCTCCTGGTGACCTTTTCTCATGTCACAGTCCAGGAGACTGATGTCCAGGAGACTGACATACAGGAGACTGACACAAAGAGAGGCTCAATGCCCTATGGAGGGCCCCCCTCAGCAGGCGCCAGAAGTGGGACCTGAGCTGGCTATCTGGCCCCAGAGCCCAGCTCGCCCAAAGAGCCAGAGGCAGTGTGGGGTGCAATCGCCCTACCCTACCAGCCTAGAATCGAGTCGACTCTATCAACTTCACCACTGGAGCCATGACACCCTGCTTCTTCCTTTCTCCCTGCTTTTAGCATGGAACACTATTGTTCAGACCCTATTTAAACGAGGCCAGAGGCCAGAAAGAGTCCACGCATGCATACATCTGCAGGACCCACCGTCCCCCACAGGAGATGCTGCTGTTTCTCCCTCCAGGGAAACTAGGAGGCGAGGGGTCCCACAGAGGTTATTTAGGAGGCTTGTTAGCCTTGGATTCAGGAAGAGCACAGGGGGCTCAGCATGACAATGCACTTTCCAGTCTGGCCTTTTTCTGCTGTTTGTTTCTGTGCAGACCCTAATTTGTTGTTGCAACAGCCAACTGCTTGTGCTCAAGGTCGACAACCAACCTCATCACCCTGTGGCCCAGCAGGCACCAATCAAGACCAGAGCTCATGGCCCTAATCTCAGCCCCACTCTGTCATGCCAGCCATTCATGCCAACTCAGGGGCTTTGCTGAGCCTGACTTTTTACTGTCAAAGGCTATTTAATGTCCCTGGCATGGCTCGCCCTGTCCCATTATGGGTAGGAAATGATGCTGGCTTCCTTTCACAGGAACCAGGTAGCGTTAATGATCGTGCACGGGCGCCACTGAGCACCATTTCCACGGCGACCTGCGCGCGAGCTCGGTAATCCTCCCTTCCCCACAGCGTGGGATGACGCACTTGTCCTCTCTGAGACACACTCAGTGCATTTATTTGCCGGCTAATGTACTGTGAATAACATAATAACATCCAGAGAGCCAAATGGGGGCACGCCGCCATTCCAGCGGGGTGGTTTGCCAACCTCCTCTGGAAATTAAATATAAACACTGTTGTTTATACTGTTGTTTCAACTTCCCCTTGGCAACCTAACTGCATTTTCCACCAGGTTAACTACCCTGTGGCTCGGGAAGATGGGCCACGGGTGGCCTGCGGCACAGCGGAATGTCCATAACATGACAGCCTTGATAATAGAGTCCATCGCTAACTTACTCCAAAGGTCTTGCTGAAATTATTCCACTTTGTTCTATTATGATTTTTTTTTTTAAGCAACAGAATGACTTCATCATTCATTCATGTATCTCTTGATCCCCCACTGGGCATATACAGGTGAACCAAAAAGACTGTTCTGAACAAAATGTTTATGTTCCCCCAAAATTCCTAAGTTGAACTTGGCTCCAGCTCAAGGAACTGCATCAAGATGACACCCTCCTGCCTCCAGATTCTGGTTCCACCTCCATAGGACACCCTTCCCCACGCCTTGCCTCACCTCTCTATCCACCATCACCACCATATGATTAAATTAACATGGATAAATCACCTGGATACCTTGTAGGAAGCATCCAGGCTTGAGGTTGTTCCTGCAGCTCCTTCTGCAAACCCCAGGGTATAGTCCCACCTCATGGTTCCATTACGGCTGTTTGTTTATCTGCCTGCCCCACAAAGCTGTGTCTTTTTATTCCCTTTGCCCAGTCCCGTGTTTGACACAAAAATGCTCAATAAAGGTTTATGTTAACAAAAGAAGGGAGGGAGGGACGGATGACAAGCATGAGCTCTCACTCACCTGTACTGTTCCTTGGCCTGCATAATGACAAAGTCCCACTTGTAGTTAATCTTTTGGTTCAAGAAATTGTAATTTTCCTAGAGAAAGACAACAAAGTGAGACTCTGAGCTCCTTGACATCAGTTAGGGCAGAATCCCTAAGAGGGTGAGGGCATGGCCCCGCACCACCCTGTGCCACAACCACAGACCCAGCAGAGGTTTCACTCCAGTTTGGCAAGGGCCTGCGTTTGGGTAGCACTGGATTCTCAAAGAGACTTCAGGACAAAACTACAACTTGGTTTGAGTTTTCTTTAATACTGTTATCACAAATATGATTAGTAAGGGGAGATAAAGTGGAAACGAAAATGGAAATTCAATATTTAACAATGGAGCATCACAAATCCACAGAGATAAGCCCAATACTACTGTGATGTTTGTTCTTCTAAAAACATGCTCGCTAAGAGTAAAAACACATGGAGAGAAAAGGGAGAGGATACTGTGGTGGAGGACTGTGGGTACCCAGACCCACAGTGGGGGTGGTGTGGTCACATGCATCTGAAGAGGTGTGAACCTGTACCTCTGAATCACATACAGTATTTTAAACCAATGTTACCCCAATTAAACACATAGCCACACACACAGCAAGGCTATTGCTATTTGCCAAGAAATATAACTTTTTGAGGGCTAGGGTGCATACTTGGAGAAATATGACTCATTCAAGCCAAAACAAAAGCCTATAATATGGTTTTTCCATCACATACTCAAGCTCAAAATCTGTTAGTCATGTGATATGCATCATCATGCATGTTAATTAAATCATAATGTTTGGGGATGGCAAAAGGGAGGTGGTGGCCACTGTGTCCCCAGTAGTCACTGAGGTGAGGGCTTAAATTACTACAGTAGAAACTGAAGCTACATGGAGGGAAGAATTTGCTTCAGCAAGCTGCTAAGTAGATGGATGAATGGATGGATGGATGGATGGATGATGAGGGTACACTTAATGTAATAATGGGGGGAACAGGAAAAAAACCTCAAGACCATATCCCACTGAATTATAATAAGTTATACTTGAAAATATCTCTGTACCTTTTCATATTCTTCTAAAATCCCTTTCTTCTTGATATTTCGCTTGGCTAGATAGATGGCTAGAAAATAAAACAATGACATTTTCTATCATCATCATATTTCAAAGCCATACTTGCAGCCTCTCTCTATGCACAAGGCTGCTATGCTGTTTGATGGAGGGAACACTCAGCAGATGCGGTCCCCTCCCCCAGGGACACTCCCAATACAGATGTAAACCGACATAAAGGTCACATTAAGACAAATGCTACCGAAGCACATCAAGTAAATAAACAGCCTGTTAAGTGCTATGAAAGGCAGACATGGAGGGGAGTTTTACCATAGTCTGTATCTTCAGCCGGCCACTGCTGGGTGGGCCAGAAGTAGGGCGTCTACAAAAAAAACCAGGAAACCTTACTTAAACAATGAGCTGAGACACCCTAGATTCCCAGTCCTGTGACTGAAGACTTGAAACTACCTTGGACCCTGTACTGTTTCCATATTCCTGGTCTATGAGAATATAAAGGCAACCAATTATCTTTTCAGATAAGATGAACCCATATTAACAGTCAAGGTCAAGGTCAAGACTCACCTGAAATCGGTAGAGGCTGCTATCAGGCTTGAGAACCAGATTCTTAGGGTCTTGCAGTGGATAAATGTAGCCATACTTGACAATAAAGTTGCCCAAGTTCTGTGCCTCTGGGGAGAAGCAGTTGAGACATGAAGTTAAAAGTAGGGGCCTAACGCTTACATAGCACCCCAACACTGGAAGAGATGCCCCATCCTAAGGGCTCTTTGTGCAAAGAGTGAGGACACTGGTTCCCGAACTGAGCTATGGACAAGTATGAGCTGGGGAGTGTGTTGAAAGGAAGATCCCCAGCCCAGCAGGCTGAAATGCCAAGTCAGTAAATCCAGAAGGAAACCAGCCAACCCAGATGTTGATGGGTGTCAGCCGTCATCCCCTACAGGTGTTTAGGAGTAGCAGTGGAGAAATACTGGAAACATTTCTTTATTCCCTTTGGGACTGGAGAAGTTTCCAGGGCAAGGGAGAAATGTTCTGTGTGACCAACAGGCATCCTCAAGCAAAGAGAGAAAGGAAAGGGAGGACATGTTTGTTATCAATTTCTATCCCCAAACAACTCTGCCTACTGACCACACCCAGATCCTTCAGCTTCTCGCCACTTCACTTTAATTCCCACCCACCTCCAGTTTCTTAGAACCTAGTCTTATTTGTGAATTTGCATCCATTAAAGGAAAATCTTTCTGGTTCTTTCTCAGAAGCACCAATGAAAGCAGGTGTCTTTCCCTCATGGAGAGAGAATTCCATCCCTCCAGGCCACCCTGCCAAGGACCCAATCCACATGCCTTCCCATAGCTCAATCTCCAAGGCTTGGCAAGACTTTGCCCTCACCCTTCTCTTCATGTCCACTCCCTCCACCATAGACCAGGCCCTCACTCTACCAATCGCCTATTTTCGGACAAAAGGCCTGGTTCTGCGCCAACCCATCCTCCTTCAAATTGCCACTAAACAGTCTGGCTTTAATATCAATTATCAGTCACACTGCTGTGCTCAAAATCCCTCTGGCTTCCTATTGCCTTTCTTCCAGGCAAAACTTGGGAGCTACAAATATACCTGGTGCATCCCCAACTTCACGCTGCCCCCAATACTCGGGTGGAGTCATTTCTCTTGCTGGCTGTCACTCCATTTCTGGCTCATTCCATTTCTACCACCCTTACTTGCATCCCCTTCTGGAAAGACAGACTCTCCAAGTTCCCCTTCACATTCACAAGATTGCATCTTTCCAGACCAAGTATGTATATGCCTCCCCCTCCAAGAAGTCCTTCTTGAGTGACTCTTCCCCAGTTACCCGTGTAATTTACATGCTCTCAATATTTTGTTTGAAACAATGATGGATTTTGTCCTTCAATTATCGTGCTTTCCATTTTGATAATGGTTGGTTTATGCAGGGAAGCTTTTGTTTCTCCAACTTAAGTGTCAGTTTCTCAGAGACTCAAGCTAGTCCTCCACTTCATATCTACCCTCCAGAGATTCTCGTGGTGCAGTCCTTGGTAACTGGGTGCCGGACGAGCGCTCACCCAGATTGGAGACCCAAAGCCGCTGGACAATCCATTGGAGAACATCACTTCCTGCAAAACAGAGGTATTTAGCCATCATCAGCCCAAACTCTGGGCTCCACGCCCCTCCATCCCGCTGCTCAGCTGGCTCCTCCCTGCTCAGCAGTGACCTCATCTTTTCTGCTTGAAATTTCCAGGGACTCCCCCCTACACACACACACACACACACACACACACACACACCCATACTCTCTCTCTCTCTCTCTCTCTCTCTCTCTCTCTCTCTCTCTCTCTCTCTCAGTCCAAACTCTGCAGCCAGTAATTCAGGCCAGCCGTGATGTGACTCAAGCCAGGTTTCTAGCTAAACCTCCCTAAACAGCCTCCATCTTCACTTCTCTGGTGGAACTCATTTTCTTACTTTACAATCATTTGTGCATGAGTTATTATTATTCATCAGCTGAAAAGTAAACACCTTGCATGTTAACAGTGAAAAAACAAAACCAGATGCAAGCTGTCCTTGGGGTTCTGGATGGAGCCTGGACACGGGGGAATAAAATTGAATACAGAGGAGGGAGATGTGAGAAGGCTCGAGGGTGGGGGGTGGTTCCTATGCACCCCCATACTCCTGGTCAGAACCCAAGGAGTCAGAGGATTCCAAATTCAAATCTGGCCTTTCAGATCTTGTAAAGGTACTTTTGTCAAACTAGGAGGATGGGGCATATTTTGCAGGTGGATTGATAACTTCCAACAATGGAATGCGGGCTCCATTTGCACTTTCACCCACACAAGACCTAGAAAGAATGCAGAGTAAAGACAGGCATGGAAAAAAAAAAGCAGGAGAGGCAGACAGGATCAAGAGCAGAAAAGAATGTGCCCCCTCTCCCACCCATCTCTCAAGGATTCAGATTTATCTAACGACAAATGTACGCCAAGCTCAACCACCAAGAAGCTGTGCACCTACTCCCAACCTGGACCTCCCTGGAGGAGGCAGGCAGCAGGATCCAGAAGAAACACAAGGTGTCCTGGAACCAAGCACTCCGACTCTAGCTCATCTTGCAAACACCATGACCACATTCACCAGCAACTTCAGCCTACGTTACAAAGGCCATGCTGCATGGAACCAGCCCACAAACTGGCCCACAAAATACACCAAGAAGGAGAATCAGGACCCGCCTCTGTCCTTATGGCTGGACTATTGAAAATGCTGCCTCCCTCCTCAGAGGTGGAGCGGGAGCATAGCCTCTGCTGCCCTCCACAGAGGGTGTGCATGGCCCATCCCACACTCTCTGGGCTTAATTGCCTCCCCACAGCATGGCTGAGGATGGACAACCTGTAGCTCTTCCTTCCTTCCACGCCCCATCTACACGCCGTCTGTTATTGCTGTCGATGGATTCTCTACTATTGCTCTTAGCTTTATTTCTCCCTGATGGGCTGTTCAAAAGCAACATTTTTCATCTAAAATCTGACTTAAAATCCTAGTACTGGGTGTTTTAGACTTTCCACCCCAAGACTTTTTAAATGCTATAGAGTGGTATGCAGGCCAAAAGACACCCAGGCAGCCAGCAGACGGATGGATGCTCTCCACCAAGGAGCGAAGGCTTTCGCATCCACTTGACTGCTTCCTGAAATAGATCAAATGAGATTATGGCGTACCACGTGATCTGTACTGACAACGACACAAGCCGCTCAGCTCCCACATCAGACACCCTCATCCCAAGAAGTCCTGGGTCTGAGGAGTTGATGGCAATTATCCAATTTGCTTTTATTAGAGCTGATGCCACAGGACAGGGCTTCTCCCTCTGGTCTGATCCAATAGCCGCTGAACCTGCCTGTGCAGGAGGAACAAGGAAAGATATGGCCTGGTGGGCAGCCTGGCCCCAAGGGTGCCATGTGCAAGGAAGGGAAGCAGCTCACACACACAGGCAGTGAACAAGAGCTAGAGGCCATAGCCGGGTTCAAACCCAAGTTCACTGGGAGCTTACTGCAGGTTCTGTGGAGTTAGTGACATGGAGACAAGTTGCTGAAGCTCTTTGCATCTCATGGTCCCATCTGCAGAAAGGGGATGGTCCTGTCCATCACTGATTTTACACTGGGGGGCTGATTGAAACCAGGGAGGAAACTGCCAGCAGCCACGGCTCATAAAAAAATCCACTGGGGATTCCACTTGCACAGCGCTACCTCATTTAATTCCTGCACTCACTCTCTAGGACAGGGGTTGCTATTCTTGATTTTAAAATCAAGAAGCCAGAGCCACATAGCTAGGAAAAAGCATCCCAAAAATGCAATCCCAGCTTTGTCCAGTGCCCTTGGCCAATGCAAGATCATGACTGATTCAGGCACTTGATCAACTTGTATTAAACCTCCACCCTGGCCCACAGCTATGCCAAGCAATGGGGTTACCTAGAGGAGCAGGTGGAGCTATCTGTGTGCCGATAAAACTTTACTGAGAAAAAGTACTGAGGGCCAAATTTGGTCCATGAGTTCTAATTTGCCGACCCCTATGTGTGGTCTCTTCCAGACCAGGACTCAAGATACATCACCTGTCATGGCGTGAGGGACACTGGTGACTAAGACCTTCTGGTTCTGCATCCGGACCCCCGTCTCTGGGTTCTGCATGTCCTTCACCAGCGCTTCAATCTGCAAGATAGAACCCAGGAAAGCTTACTAACTGGACCATTTCAAAAGTTGAGCCAAAGTGCTCCCTTTTGAGACCCGAGGAATCAAACGATGCAGAGGTGAACACAAGGGGCATACAGCCCAGATGGGCACTGAGTGATATGTGCAAAAGAGCTAATACGAGCTATGCACACACCAGCACACTCCCTCCATGGGAAACCACGGAGTGATCCACTCTGACTTGGAGATTCTGCAAAGGCTTTTAGGAGAAGAGGAAGCTTAACAGAAAAGGATTTTGCTGCATAGAAAGAGAGAAAACAGCACCAGCAAAGGCATGGGAGGGAGACCAGTGGCAAGAGGGACAGAAATCAAGATATCAGAGCAAGATGAGGCTGGAACAGCAGGTGGAGACCAGATCACCACAGGCCCCAAATGCCGCTCTCAGAGAGTAGATTTTATTCCAGCAGCTATTTCTAGACAGGTGCATAATCTGGTCTACATTTTGGAAATGTGGCCCATGCCAGAGAGAAACAGGCATAATAAGTTCAACCAGGTAAGATAAAAACTGGAAAATTGTTTAAAACTATTGCACTCTTTCAAGCAAGAAATGACAGGGCTTCCACCCTGGCTGGGTCTACCGTTGTGTCTACTCTCAGCAGGGCAGCTGGAGATGATTTTGGGACATGGTACTCCTCTGCTCAACCCCTGCAAGAGGGTAGTGCCATGCTATGCACAGAGCATCTACTAACTAGTTTTGCCAACCGGATCAGGCGGGAGGAAATAGAGACTATACCAACTGTCAAAGAACCAGAGAAGAGGATGGCTCTGATGATCCAAAAAAGAGGATGTACAGAGGGGAACAGGATCTTCCTAGATGGTGAGGAAGAAGCTGGAATCCAGGGACGGCAGGAGAGAACCCCAGGGCTCTGGGCACTGGAAAGTGAAGACATTGAGACTGGACCCCTGGCACCTGGTGAGTGAAGCTGGGAAACCACAGAGGGGTTCCTCAAAGAATTAAAAATAGAACAACCAGATGATCAGCAGCCCACTTCTGCATAAGTATCAAAAAGAATTGAAATGAGAATCTTGCAGTATATTCACAACCACCAAGATGGCCACGGACAGATGAATAGATAAGAAAACGCAGCACACACCTACCGTGGAGACTCAGCTTTCAAAGGGAGACTCTGTAAAATGGAGCACATGAACGAGCCCAGAGGCCAGGATAACCGGAAGAAGCCAGTCACGGAAGGGCCATGTGACCCCACATATGTGAGATGTCTACAACACGCAAATTCATGGAAGCCAGGGTGGAATGGGGTGACCCAGGCAGGGGGTGAGTGGGAGCTTGGGGAGTTGCTAGTCAAACACCTTAATGAAGTCTCATTCCAGGAAAATGAGTAAGTTCTAGAGCTCTGCTGTGTGACACTGTACCCACAGTAAGCAATGCTGTACATAGGCATTTAAGAGGGTGGATTCTCACCCTGTTACCACAAACAAAGTGTTTAAAAGAGAAAGAGAGAAACCGGCCCGGGTGAGCTGCAGGAGTAGGATGTTGCAGGGCAGAGCCAAATCCGGATATGCCCCACCTGCCCCCTACCCCCTCCCTCTCGGCCAGTTTGCTCCTGCAGCTGGGGGGCTCCCCCTTGCCAAAGAGGGAAGAGGGGCAGGACCATGTCCTAAGTCAACAGTGAGGGCTGGGGGGTTCCTGTTTCCAGCCCTGGTGCTAAACCAGCATTTGCAGCTGAAGCGCAAGCTGAAGGAATGGCCAAGATCGGGTGCACCTTCCAGGCTGCTCCAGGCCCAGTGCCAGCCCCTCAGCCAGAGCACCAGACCCCGCCCCCCCAGTGTCCAGGCAGCACCCAGGGCTCCTGGGGCAAGACTGACTTTGAGCTTCATGTGCACGGACACTTTCTTGGCTCACACAATCACTATGGAACAGAAACTATTCATTTCTGCTCCACTGGGACGTGAGGTCTTGACCTCCTGTAATGTCAGGGCCAGGCAGGATCTCAGGCTCAGCTGACAGCCCACAAGGACCAAAAAGCTGACCCCAGGGGGTAAAGGAGAGGACATAGGAGGCATGGGCTTCAAGGGTCACTCCTTCCAGAATTTTCAACTATCCATAAACCACAGATTTTTTTTTTTTTTTACTGAGCTAACATTAGTTTGCAACACTGTATGAGTTTCTCACCTCAGAAACTGTGTATATCACTCCACCCCCACCCACCAAATGTCCTGTCTCCAGCCTCCACCCACCCATGGGACCTTCTCCACCCATGCCCCTTCCTTCCCTTCTGGGAACCTGCCCCCTGCCAGGCTGTAAGCATTTGTAGCCGCTTTTGTTTTGTTTGTTCATTTGGCTTTTACGTTTTACTATATACCACAAGCCCGTGAAATTGTAGTCTTTATTTCTCTCCTTCTGACTCCACTTAGTGTCACACCCTCAAGGTCCAGCCCTGTTGCTGACAGTGGCAGGAGTTCACCTTTTCAGAGCTGAGTAGTATTCCACTGTGTGGACTGGACCGCAGCTTCCTGGCCCTCTCAGCTGGCGCCAGGCCCTGGGGCTGTGCCCATTCTTGGCTGTTGTAAACACTGCTGCGATGAACCCAGGGGGCACATGTCTTTCCTAACTCAAGTTTTCATATTCTTCGGGTAAACACCCAGAAGTGGGATGACTGGATGATAAAGTCGTTCTGTTTTAAACTTTATGAGTTCCCACCACCGCTTTCCACCGCGGCTTCACCAGCTCCATCCCCACTGCCATTTTCCACACCCTCCAACGTGACTGCTTTGACTTTTTGGGAATGGCCATTCTAAGCGGGGTGCGGGGTGCGGTGAAATCTCGCAGCGGTTGTGATTTGCATTTCCCTCGAGATACACGGCGTCCAGCACCTTGTCATGTGGCTGCAGCCCATCTGGGTGCCTTTTTTGGGTGAAATGCCGACTTAACTCCTCTGTCCCACAGATGTCTATACTCCCCAAGAAGGGCCTGCTTTTCTGCTGGGAGGGTCCAGGCAGGCTTCCTCACCCCAGACTTATTCCAAAAGGTTTCTTCAATAAAAAGCAGCGTTTCCAGACATTGGAAAAGCAATAGAAAGCCTCGCAAGTTAGGAGCCTGAGTTTCCCGGATAGAAAATCAACGGATTTGATTCCTTCCCTTCAGATTAAAAAAAAAAAAAACCTACTTATAAAGAGTTTGAAAATAACTTTCAGAGGAGGAATAATGAGAGTTATTTTTAAAACGCCACGAGGGGAGTCAGAGTTCTGACTCCTTCACAGGTGTCACCCTCACAGACAGACAGGCTTGGTGAGAGGCGGGAAAGTCACACGGACCTCCAGAACATTCCAAGGGAACTCGGCCCATTGGGATCGCGACCAGTCCTACTCACAACTTCCTTCAGACAAATTCTTCGGAGGGGGTCTCCCCAGACACCCCAAAGGAAAGGACAGGATTCTGGCTGGTGGACTGTCTGAGGAGGCTGTCAGGGGCTGCATTGTGCCCCCCGCAAAATTCACATGTTGAAGTTCTAATCCCAGTACCTCACTCAGAATGGGATTGTATTTGGAGAGGGAGCCTATAAAGAGGTAGTTAAGTGAAAATGAAGTCATGGGGCTGGACCCTAATCCAGCATGACCGATGTCCTCATGGGAGGGCCACCCGGAGGGAAGACCACGTGAGCACTCGGGGAGAAGACAGTGTCCTCCAGCTCAGGAGAGAGGCGCAGAAGGAACCAGCCCTGCAGACCCCCTGAGCCTGGATTCCCCAGCCTCCGGAGTTGCGAGGACAGAACCCTCTGCGGTTTGAAGTGCCCAGCCCGTGGTGCTTTGCCATGGCAATCCGAGCTGAGGGTGTAGACGCTGGCTTCTGTCTTGTCCCAAAGCAGTGAGGACAGCACCTGCGTTCTTCACCCAGTTCTCCAGAGAGCGAGAAGCCCCTGCCTTTTTGCTCCAAAGTGCTGCTAACTCTCACCTCCTCCTCATGCCCCGTGGGTGTCCTCGGAGGTGACAGAGAGGAACGGCCATCCCCACCTGCAAATGTCAGCGCCCCTCCTAACCACACTCAGCCTCCCGGGGAGGCGCGACTCCTCCCCAGGGCAGCATAACCCAGACACCCTGACCTCATGTTGGGGGCAGGTGGGCGGGGGTATCGACCCTACATGTTCGCCCTCAGATGCCACCGCATCTCAGTGTGACTGAAGGCGTGCCAGGGAACCCCAACATTATGGAGGAGCAGAAATGATGGCTTTGACGGCCTCGACGGCCCACCCTCTCCTCCCACAGGCTCCTCGCATTAGAGCTGTCACTCATAGCGCGATTCAGGGCTGGAATTTTCCTTTAAGCCAAAGAAGGCTGGGGGTGGGGCGTGGGGGGCGATGATAAGCAGCACTGTTTTAGCCAAAGATGGGGAAAGTGACCCAGTGACCTCTGTTTTGCTAATGGACGGCAAGATGCTCACACAGAGGCCACCACCTACAGGCATCCTGCTGTCCCACAGTCCCTTGGGAGGGCCGTACCCTCATTGGTGCTGAGGATCGTGGTCTTCTCCAAACCTGCTCTGCGCACCCTGGTCAAAAGCACAGGAAGCCTTGCAGGTGACCCCAGCCAACACTTGTTGACTCTGATCTTGACTCTGAGTGCCTCCTCTCTGTCTTCTGAACCCCATTTGTGGGGCATCTAGCACCCCCTGGACTGTCAGGTTCTCCTCCCAACATCTCCCTTACACCCCACGTCTCCAGCCTACAGCACGACTTCCAGGCTTCCACCATGGCACTGCTGACATTTGTGGCTGGATCATTCTAGAGTGAGAGGAATGCCCTCCTGGAGCTTAGCAGATGCCAACGCCCCCAATCCAGCTGTGACAAACCACTGTCTCCAGACATGGTCAAACCTTTCCAGACACTTTCATTGGGCCTGTACCTGCAAATGACCTAAGAAGTTTCTGTAAAAACACCTGGCTCCACCCCCACACACAATTATTAAATTACCTCTTAAGTAAAGCAGAAAGCTTGGAGGATGGGAACTTGACATTGGTACTTTGTGAAGGGCAGAGAAGCAGCCCCACCTGCCATCAGGATCATCTTTCCGGCAAGCAACTAACTCCTTTTACTCACCCCTGATTTTGAAAGAGCAAACGGCATCTCGCCGAGCTCAGCGTCAAACTCAGCGTGACACGCAAAGCCCCCACTTGGGGGCCCTTCTTCACTCCACTGGCCTTTCTGTGTGTCAACCTCCTGCCACTCCAGGCCCGCGAGCCCCCACCCCGTCCGCCCCCATGAAGCTCCCAGCATGCAGTTTCACACTCCAGTCCTTTGTACGTGCCTAGAATGCCACTCATCTCGTCCTCCTGGCAAAAGAATCTACCCGTGCTCCTATCTCCCCTCACTGGTAACACCCCCCTCAAAACCTATCCAGACTCACACACACAGCAAAAATCACCGCTCCCTCTGCCCTTTGCATCTGTGTAAATTCCCTCGAACAACGCCTACAGTAACCTCTGTCTGTCTCTCCCTGCTAGACACCAAGTCCCCAGACGAGAGGGATCGAGTGTTAAGCCCCAGGCAGCCTCCAGCACCAGGCTAGCCAGGCACTTGCACAGAAGTACCAGGCGTGTTTGGGGGTGAAATAAAAGAATGATCAGAGCAAGAGGCCAGGCTTTGTCATGGTCTCCCCATAGTCCTGTATCTGCACTCCCTTCCCAAGCAAAAGAAGATGCCAGAAGCCACACAGGGAAGCCACTAGCAGAAGGCTCCACGTGGCACCAAGAAAAGCAGCCCCTGGGCCTCCCTGGTGGCGCAAGGGATTCTCAGCACTATGAAGGTGTCCGCAGCCACTGCAGCATGAGTTCCATCCCTGGCCAGGGAGGTGACCCACAAGGTACAGCAGACCTCCCCTGTCTCACCCACTGCTCTCCTCAGTATGACCCTCCCCCTGGAGCCCCTGCCTGCTTTTCCAGCCTCCCGCTTCACTTGAACTTCCAACTCCATCCATACTCAACAGCACGTCCTCACCCCCCAAACCTCCCAGGGTACTGCGCCTTAGCACATGCCATTCCCTCTGCCTGGAACATCCTTCCCTTTCTCTCCACTGGAATCGCCTCTCATCCTCACAGGTGCACATGTCCCAGACACATCTCGCCAGACCCTCCCGGGACCCTCCCGGGCCTCTGTTCTGCCCTACAGCACAGGAAAGCTCAAAGCATTGCAAACCACTCAAATGCAGGTGATGGACAGGCCAGCATCTTCTCTCATTGCGCCACTTGGGGGCTGTGTGACTAGGACAAGTTACTCAACATCTCTGAGCTTTCGCTTCCTTTCTGTAAAATGATTTATGGTTTACTGGTTTATGGGATAGATGAGAGCCTGTGTGCAGGGGCCCTGCTGGGACAGAATTCACTGTATAGTCAGCAAGGGCGCCTGATCTTTGCATTTGAGTGCTTGTTCCTTTGTTCTGCGACCCCCGGCTCAGCTCATGGTTGAGGGCCCCTGGCATGGCTCTCGAGACCAGGTGTGCAGACCTTTATTGCTTTTCCTGCTCGAAAAGGAATACCTGAGAGCACACAGGCAGGCCCTTCCCACAGGGCCAGGGCAGGGGTGGTGCGGGGGGTACAGAGTCTGCAGGTAGAGAAGGCTCTGCTGGGGGGGTGGAGAACCTGGGAGGACAGGAGTCTGGGGGAAAGGGGGGAAGGCTCCCTCAGTGGAGGAACCTGAGGCCTGGGCCTCCTAGAAGGTGAGGACATGGTTGAGGCCGGCCCCCACACAGCAGCGCTTGTGGCTGCCTTGCGGGGTTTTCCTGGAAGGCTGTGCAAAAGGCGGGTGTAAGGTTAAGCCAGAGGGATGGGCCAGAACATGATCCACGGTGGCCTGGCTGAGAAGTTTGGACTTTTCTGTGGGTGTGGGAAGCCGGCGGAGATGCTGGTTGCGGAGATCAGTGTTGGTCTGGGGAAGAAAGTCGTGTGTTTATAAAGGATATTGCGGAGGAAGGCGGGCAGGGGGGAGGCGGGGAGGCTGGAGTGAAGAGGGAAATCTGGGGAAAGGAGGGCAGGCTGGGGTGAGGAGGGAATTCTGGGTAGAGGAGTGGGAGGCTGGGCGTGGAGGGGAGGCAGGGGTCAGGAGGGGATGGCGGAGGAGGAGAGGAGATTGTGGTGAAGAGGAGATGGCGTGGAGGAGTCGGTTCTGGGTGAAGGAGTAGGAGGCTGGGGTGCAGGAGGGGGAAGCCAGGGTGCAGGAGGGGACACTGGGAGAGGGGTGGGAGGCTAGAGACAGACGCCAGTCAAAAGGCCAAGATAAAAAGAGGAAAATCTGCCAAATAACACTCATGATGGAAAAGAATGTCTGAGATTCAGAAAACAAACAGAAGCTCTCCAGAAGGTTACCCTCTGACACCCCCAGCCCGTGTCTTGTCTGGGAGGAGCAGCTATCCCGGGCTGGGCGCTGGAAGAAGAGCAGAGGCTCGGGCATCTTCTGCTGGGAGGCACTGGTGTCTACACCACAGGCCCTTCTGGGGAAGACAACTTTCCTCCCCCTCTGCTTCACACCTCCGCCACCTGGACTGTTGTCCCCAGGTATCCACTCTTCCTTGAGGCAGGCGGACAGAGTAACCAACTGTCCACGTTTTCACTAGGAAAGCCCTGGGCCCATCAAGACAGGTGGCACTGTGCCCCGGGGGCTCAGGGTATGCTCTGCTTGTCACAAGGCATTCGGCTAATTCCACTCGAGGAGATAAGTCTAAGAAGGTGGCCTGATGAGAAGCAGCCACAGATGGGACGAAAGTGACCAGGGATCCAGGATCTCATGTCTGTCCATCTCTTTCAACACTGGTTATCTCAAAAGACCAGAACAAGATGAGCCACTTTGCCCCCAAACATAGAACCACACAGATGCACTCACCCCCACACATCCACCATGGCCTGTGACAGCCTTGCATAGGCTTCCGAAGAAAAAGCTTCCGACTTCTGCCCCCATTACAGAGACCAGAGATACACAGGTACCCACACCGAAAGAGGAACCCAGGGTGCTGCAAGCGGGGTGTCCCTTTATCCTACAAATCACACCATTTTCAAGGTCTGTGTGTACACGCTCACTCACACACTGCATCTTGGGATTCGAAAAACGACCGAAATGTTCACTTAACATCTGGGTGTCTTATAAGAATACCAGGAGACTGTCTCCAATCTGACACCGCCGGCTGCATTGTCCTCTGATACCTTCCTCTCAGAGTAACAGGTTGTTTTCAGCCTCCAGCAGCCCGTGGCTTCAGATTCCCTACCCAAACAGGTTACAAGGAAATCCAATCACTAGAGTCTTTAAAAGATACACACACCCCACAGCCCATAAGTCGTTTATAACAGCAGGCAGCACCGAGAGAGCCCAAGGGATGCCCTCCACTCCTGCCCACACCCCAGCACCGCCAGCATCTCCTCCCACACTTGCCAGAGTTGGCCCCTGCGCGCCTCCAGGGCCAGGCGGGCCGGACCGCGCTCACCTTCTGCAGAAATGCCATCCTCGGCCTGTACTGCTGGCCTTGGTGTCGGATTGTCATCGTGGACCCTGGACCAGTTCAGAACCAGAACACGAACGAGAGCGAGAAGGGAAGGCCCCCCCCCACACACTCAGAGCCAGCTTGGCCCGCAGGCGCCCCGGCTTGCAAAGGGAGCGCGCTGGATGGGGCGCTGCTGCCTGCGGCGCCCCTTTACTCGCGCTGGGCACACCCCTGGGAGAGCAGCTGGAATCCGCGCCGGCCAATCAGCGAGCCGCGCCGCGGGCTCATTAGCATGCGCTGCGCTGGCGCCCACCTGCCGCCAGGGGGCGGCGTCCGGCCCCGCCGGGACCCCAGGGAGCCTCAGGTGAACGCCCCCGAGTTCTGGACTTGCAAGGGCGGGCGGCGCTGCAGAGAGACCCGGCCGCCCCCCTAATAAGGACGGTGGAAAAACGCGGGCTTTCCCGTGCCAGCTTGCCAGTAGCCAGCGAGCCATCTGGCCAAGTTCCTGATAATCTCTAAGCTTCGATTTCCTTATCTGAAAAGTAAAAATAAAAAAGGGGATTAAAAACATCCAGGAGATGAATTGCTCTATCACGTCGCGGGGGAGTATGTGACACAGGTCTTGGCCCTCAGCAAATGTTCAGAAATGTTTCGGGGCAGAGGGAGGTAGGGGAATTGGTGCGATGCTGGTTTCAAGAAAGTAAAGATGAAAAGCGTCTCCTACCTGGCCCAGGTGCCTTGTCCAGGCAAATTGCATTTCTTGTCTCTGGCCCTTCATATTTTCATCTCTAGGATATGAAGGATGAAGCTGCCAAGTAATTTTCTATACAGACTGGATGGCTATCAATTGTAGCAGAGCACATGTTTAAATTAGAAAAGAACAAGGAGGAATTTGCCTCTGTAAGGCACAACTAATGTCTCTTCCAAGCAGTTCTTACCCATATTTTTGGCCACACGTGCCTGTAAGCATCTCAGGAAACACATCGTGTTTGCAAATAATTTGCAAACAATTGCATTTTGCAAATGCGTTTGCAAACAATTTCAAGAGGGTCTGAGCTGGTCCCCTCAAGCCTTTTTGTGGGCTCCTAACTCAAAGCCCTCACGCACCCACTTTAGAGGGGTCTGGACCCTGCAGCTGTCCGTTTGTGCAGGAGACCATTCAGAGAAAAGCCAAGCAAATGAGGCCATCAAGAAGCATCTCCCGGTGGGAGCTAAGACCCAAGGAAAGTGCTGGACTGTGTTCCATTTCATGGCGGTCTCTTGGCCCTTGTGTTATACAGAACACACCTGGCATATTCTGGAGTGGATGCGCTGTGGGGGTACCTTCAAGCTGCAACATTCCTTAACTCTAAACCCTAAGCAGAGAGGAGCTAAGTGACTTTCCGAAGAATGAAGTTGAGAAAATTTATTCAGAGGAAAAGGCAGAAATGCAAGGGCCTCTGTTCACTATGAGGACAGGAGCAGTCCCAAAGTGTCGTATCTCCTCCCACCCAATCCTCTCTCAGGCCCTGCTCTCCACCCACCCACACTCCGTGGGGCCCACCCTCAACTCCACGGATAGGGATGTCGGGCATGGGACCCAGGAGCCCGCCAGGTTCACAGGGTGGCCGCGCCATGGATGTGAAAGCTGATGAGCCTGATGTCAGATTATCACTTCCACAAACCTCAGTGTGAGCCGGGCAGATGGAAACCCAGGGCCAGAGGAAGCACAGGCCACATGCAAGGGGAAATTACGAGGAAGCAGAAATGAAAGCTGAGCAGAAGAAGCAGGAAAAGAGAAGCAAAAAAACTAAGCCGCGAGAGAGCACAGGGATCCCCAGAGTTCTCTGGGCTCCTGGCCTTGCCAGGGCCAAGTGCTGCTTTACAAACTCGCCCACATACAGAAAGTTACAGACTGTTTGATTTCATTCCTGTGCGGAAGATAAACAAAGTAAATGAACTAAAACAAAAACTAACTCTTAGACTATAAGAACCAAATAGTGATTATCAGAAGAACCGGGAAGTGGCTATAAATTGGATGAAAGGGATCTGTTACGGGGTAAAGGATGGAAATCGGACATTGGTGACAATCCTAGTATCATATGTTTTGCAACCAAAAGGGTCTAATCTTTAATGTGTTAAAAGTTCAGTGATAGCTTCCTGAAAAATCGATTTAACTCACCTATTCATTAAAACAACTAACATGGTGAGCCAAGTCTTGTGCTAGAGTTAGTTCAGAGCGGAATATGACCCTGGAACCCCCAGGTTCTCAAGGAACCCCCAGGTCAATGCAGGAGAAGTTACATAGGATGGAGATCCAGTCAACACAACACAGGACTTAACAGAGGGGCACCTTATTGAAACTGAGTGGAAGAAATCAGGGAGACTTCCTGGAAGAGGAGTCTTAAAGGAGGTTAAGAAGAGTTATCAGGGACAAAGGAGAAAATGCCGGTATGTCATGGAGCACAGCAAGATAAGACTCAGAGGCAAAGATCGAGATGGCCTGAGGGTGATGACAAGGAAATTAATGAGACAGAAGCAGGCAGGGAGTAGCCAGTGGCTTTGGTGGTGAGGTTTGGAGAGTGTGGGTCAGGCATTAAATGGAAAGGGGCATAGGAACTTTCGGTAATGACAGAAACACTCTTTATCTTCATGGGAGTGGTGGTTACCCAGGTAAATAAGTTTGGGAAAATGCCAACTGTACTCTCACCACCAAAATATGGCATTATATGTGAATTCTTCATCCATACACTCACAAAAGGATGGACCCCAAAAAGCAAAGATTATGTTGCAATATGGCAGAGGCGCATAGCACTAAAATGAAATCCTCCTGTAACCGGGCCAGGTCAATGGCCTCCTCATCAGCAGGAGGGTGTGATTCAGAACCTAAACTGGGTCAGGCTGTGTGAACACTACATGGTGCAATCAACGTGGGCTGGACCTTGCCCCGAGGTGCAGAGATGTGGTCATCCACATGGCAGTGCCCTCTCACACCAAAGGCAAAGGTCTCCTCCCAGTACAACATCCCAACACCCTGGTCAACTCAGTCCATGGTGCTAAGTGCTGAGGATAAAGCTTGTAAAGCCAAGCTCAGCTCCCTTGAACCCTCTTTCCAGACTGGGAGAGGAGATGGCATCTTAAACTGCTCATTCCATGATGATGGATGTTCCGACCACTTCCACCACAGGCTTCGGGCCAGGGCTGCTTACAGGGGGGGGCAGGGTGAACCACGGAGGGACATCCCCCCGAGACTCCAGGGAAAAGTCCCCATGGGAAGCCACAGCTGTCACCTGGGCCCAAAGGGCTGGAAAGCCGGGGTCCAGGGGAAGGACATGCCCACTGTCTCCTCCTGGCTCTACCTCTTGTTGGTAACTGCCATTGTTCCAGACCAGGAACAATGGTCTGCCTGGAGCAGAAGCCAGGGGGGAATAAAGCCCTCAGGATATAATCCGTGAGGGTGGGAGGCACAGGAGGAGGGGGGGGGTGTTAAAGGAACAGCACAGGGAGTCATAGGTCAGCGATATTGTGCCCAGCAGGCAGGTCTCAGAACTGATGCTGTCACCAAGCTCCTCGGACAGTGTGGGAACAGCACCTCCAGAACCTGCAGGGACAGCTCCGTCCCTGCGGCAGAAATCACGTTGAATCCATCCCACACCCGTCTGCTCCAATCTTTGCCTTCTCTGTCCTCTTCCTCCAGGAAGCGGACCCTCACCCTCACTGATTCTATCCCCAGGGCTCTATCCCCCTCTGGCTTCTGTGGCTTGGGCTCCAGCCCTTGTTTGCATTTCCTGGAATTCTACCTTGTCTGAATTTGTTACAAGTATGCCCTGCATTTGCAATTCTAAAATAATCGTTAGAGTAGGGGAATCCTCTATATCTGTCTTTGTGGTTTCCATTAAAGAGACAGTTGCACGTGGAAACTAGTTCTGGCAGGGGCAGCAGAGGGCCTTCTCCTGAAGGCAGTGAGCATCCTGGGCAGTTGACAAAATTGCTCTGACAGGCACGTAGGTCCTCAGTTAAGCCCTAAGGGAACTGTAGGCGGGACACACTCACCCTTCTCCCTGCACTTTCTCCTTCTCCATAGAAGCTATTTTAGACCTTCGGAAGCTGACCTCTCTTGGTGGCCTGGGCTATTTGATTTTGGAGAAAGGAAGAGGAAAAAGAGGGGAAGGTGGAAATTTCTGGAAGATTTCCTAACTCCATCCAGGGATTTTCAGAAATAATTTTGACCTAGCGGGAACCACTAGCTACCTCCACCAAGTCCAGTCAGATCATAAAAACTCCACTCCTCAGATCTTTTCTGTCCTAAATTAAATGGGTTAGATGCATCTGGAGATGAGACTTTTCACAAGTGTTTCAGAGAGACCAGGAGAATAGAAGAAACTCACAGTTCCCGGTCTCCACCCTCCCCCCCACTCCGGAAGGTTCCTTCTGTCCACCTACAGGTTGGGGCTGCTGAATGACAGCTGTCATTTTTTTAAAGGGTGTTGTTATTGATCACTATAGAGAATGTGGAAATATAGTCTTGAAAGATGACATCATGGGAAAGGGTATTCTGCTGACATGGTTTTGGCTTTGGTTTAAGCAGGTGCTGGGCTTAGGGGAATGTCAAGTCGTGTTCTGCGAGAAAAGCAAACACTGGACATCTACACCAGGGATGATTTGGTCACGTAAAATATTTTCAAAAAACAGAATAAATACTGTCGTGGTGGTGTAACAGGGTGGTCCCCAGGAAAGGGGGAGGTTCCCTGCCCCACCCAAGGGAGGGTGGAGCTGAGCAGGAAGAGGAGAAGCTGCAGAAGAGACTGAGGAAGGAAGCAGGATGGAGCCTAGAGACACGTGAAGAAACTGTGCTTGTCTTTTGGTTGTGGACTGGGTGACACAGATGTGGGTGAGACCTGTGGGGAGGTGACCATGGCAGCTTTTATCTTGATGTTGATTTTGCTCTTTTCCTTCCGGGCTTGTCTGGTTATTTCTGACCCTTTTCTGTGGGTCCCCACTGGAAGATGCTTTAGACTTGTGGCAGGCTTTGGGGCCTTGCTCTGCGCCATTCCCATCTGGATGGACTTTTACCCACGAGGGGACGGGTAACTCTGGATGCTTCATTTAGAAACTAGACTCTTTGCCTTACCTGTATTGTTTCCTAGTTTTTATTAAAGTTCCTTCCCATTAAAGCGTCATATGTTTTGTGTTGATGCGGCGGATGGCAGAACCCATGTAGAATAGGCAGGTTTGCGGGGTTTGGGCTGCCCCTCTCCCTGCCCTATAACAGTGGGGCTCTGAGGATAAGAGGGAGGGGGGAAATGTGTAAAGTAAAAGCTAATAAAAATGAGAGCAATGGCAATATAAAGAATGTGGTAGGCAGATGAAAAAAGGAAGGCAGGAAGAAATAAAAATATTTTAGTAGTAGGAAAAATATAAATATTTTACACAAATTTAAAATTAAAGAAGTGTGTTCTGTTCCTTACTCTAACAGGTTGGGTGTCTTCAAAGCCTTATTGAGGTTTCTGGAACCAGTCTTCTGAGATGCCAGTGAACTATGTTGCTTTGTCTTTTCTCGCTCTGTGATATATATTTTATGTATATTCATAGATATCATGTATATTCATAGACATGCTCATACATATTCATTTATGCATTAAGTGTAACTATATATGTATAGTCACGTCACCTGAATCTTGAAAAAGCTAGAGCTGGTTTTGCTTTTCCCCTCTCCCTTTATCTTTGTAAGACAGCCTTTTTGAGTTCACTTCAAGATACAACATTTGTCTACAAATTTTACAAAACCAAATTAGTTTTGCAAAAAAAATACAGACCCTTAAAGATGAAAAAAAGATGTAAGAATTAAATAAAATAAAATATTTAAATTTAATAAATAAATAAATAATATACAGACCCTTAGAGAAGGAAGGAACGAACTGCGAATGAACAGGGACTTTCTTCTCCAGGTGATGAATATGCTCTGGCGTCGGATAGTGGTGCTATGGCTCTGCCTTGTGGATAAACTAAAATCACTGACTCATACATTCTAAAATGTATGTTAATTACAATAGAGAAAGTAAGATTCAGAAAATTATTTGTTCCCGGGTATTCCTATTAGAACATCCCTCCCTTTCTCAAAAACCTTGAGGGTCCCAGTTGCTTCCCTTCTGAAATCCAGTCTTTCATAGTTTGGACCCGTCCGATTTTTTAACCATAGCTGCATTTATTCTCAACATGAAGTCTCTTCCCTCACCAGACCTCACATCTGCTTTATTTCCCGCATGCGATGTGTTTTCTGCTTTCAGGTCCTGTCTTTTTGTTCTCCTGAAAATCCCTTCATCCATGTGTGTGACGTGTTAATGGTGCCTGTCCGGTCGCCCCTCCAGCACTGAGTCTGAGCCACACACACGGCATTCCCCACTCACAGCTTCGGTTGTATGCCATGAAGCTCATCCCCCAACCCAGAAGCTGCCCCAAGGACAAGGGCAAGGGAACCCTGTGGCTTGTAAGCAGTGGGTTCTGGGTTTGGGTTTGGCAGGAGGTAGATGTGATTTGTGCATTGCCAGTTTCTGTGGGGTAAATATTCCTCCTGAAGTGACACCACGGACCCCAGAGTCACTGGACAGAAGTGGGGAGACCTGCACACTGTGGGCTCTCGTAGGCAGGTACAAGTGGGCTCAGCACCACTGTCTGGCCGATATTTTTAGCCTCTCATTCCAGCTCGACTCCACCCACCTCCCCTTGCCCCATCATCCTCCCTGTACAGTGCTTGCTCCCTCTGCTATCCCCTCAAGAGTGCTCTTCAAAAACACAGTCCTTTCTGTTCTCCTAGAACATTCTAGAATGTTCTACTAGATCTATGTCCTGAGCGCAAGTGGCCTCTGATCTCAAGATATCACCCCCATTATAGTGGTGGTTGCTTTGCTTGGGTGTCCTCACCCCCAATTCCAGGTTGGCACTGGGAGTCCCTAGCATTCCAGGACCACTCCTAAGCCACTACTCTGCCACTTCTGTGTTAAATCCTTCCTCTTCTGAGGCTCCCACACCCATCTCCACAACCCACCTTTTGGTGCTCATTTGCGTTATCCAGAAGTCCCCCCAGAAGTTGAGCACATCCTCCTCTTGCCGTTATCCTGAGTGAGCCCCCTCTGCACTTTGCATGGTATGTGTGAATTTTTTGCACAAGAGTATTGGGATTTTGAGGTGGTATCTGACAGCATGAATGTGGATTGGATCTCCATGAAGGCAATGGTCATTGCTCCTGCCAATCTCCAGCGGAAGAGATGTGTTCTAAGGCAGAAAAAGAAAGCATTAATTCAGATAGTAGACCTACCTGCCACTTGCTAGTTACCTATCTGGCAGGTAGGGCTTACCTAGCAGTCTGTTCCTGGGAACTATCTCCCTCCCATAGGAGTACAAGTTCAGGACTAGGAAGAAATGGTACCTGTAACCCCCAGGGATCAAGCCACCTGGGGTAAGAAAATTATTCTAGCTTCCTGTGGTTCTCTCCATTTTCCTTTGACTTTTTCTCTAGAGTTTATAATTTCATTAGCTGTTCTAATGCTCTCTGCTCTGTGTTAGGGGTTATTCGGCTTTGTTTAACAAATCTTTCCTGAGTATCGTTTCTGGGTCTGTGTTAAACACCCATGGTAGAAAGGTGAATAAGACATGGTCCAGCCTTCAGGGTATTTCCAGTAGGAAAGGAAGATACAAAATATAATTCTAGGGGACCTCTCTGGTGGCACAAGGGGTTAAGATGCAAACTATGCAGCTGTCCACAGCCTCTGCAACATGAGTTCAATACCTTGGCCAGCCAGGGAGCTACCCATATGGCACAGCAGACCTCTCCTGTCTTGTCCGCTGCTCCCCTCAGCTGTGTGTTTCAGTCAGTCTGCCTGTTCTGTTCCTCACTCTGTCTCTGGTGAATCCTCTCATCCCCCGCATCTCTGGCCTGTACCCCAGTTCTTGTATGCATAAATAAATAAATCTTTTTAAAAAGACAAAATACAACTCTGGAATAAAGCAATGGGTAATATTGGAGTATGTAGAGACAAAGTGAAAGTTAAAGAAAGGTGGTGAGAGGCATGGAGGTAGGAAAGGATAATGATAATACAAAACAGACCTCATGTCCCCACTTAGTACACCTGGTTGTCACTACAACCCAAAGAGACCGATGTCTATTACAAATATTCCTGTTTAACAAATGAGTGATTTGAACTCAATTTACCAACAAGGATAAATCACAAGCTGAAGTTCACGCATCTATTAAGCATCAGGTTGAGGGCTGGGACCTCAGCACTCTGGCCTCTGACATCATACTTGCCTCCACCCATGCTGGGGTGTTGTGGCTGGCCCTGCTAGTCCTCCCAGGAGATAAACTCAGACCCAGCTATGTTCCCACAGAAAAAAATCATCATATTAAACTCAGAAAAAAGAAAGCATTCCATTGGGCCAGCAAAATCCACAGCGGACCATTGTACAATGACTTTAGAAATGTACTTTTCACTCTCCAGGATGAATTATCCGCAGATGATGTCTCATGGGTCAGAACGTAAATACATTAAATGTTTTTTTTATATAGAAAGTCAAGTAGCTTTTCAAGAGCGTGCACACATTTACCATCTGTTTGCCCAGAATGAACTAGATTCACTACACTCTTATTTGCTATTACAGTTTAAACAAGTCTAATTTTACTAGATTCTGTATTTATATCCGTATAGGTTTCCCTTTCTCTTTTTAAAGAAAAAAAAAATCTGTTTAAGAGACTATATAGGGCCTCCCTGGTGGCCAAGGGGTTAAGTACCGCACTGGGAAGCAATCTGCAGCCTCTGCAGCACCAGTTCCATCCCCAGCTGGCCAGGGAGCAGCCCACATGGCGCAGCAGACCTCTCCTGACTTGCCTGCTGCTCCCCTCAACAGTGTGTTTCAGTCAGTCTGCCTGTTCTGTTCCCCACTCTGTCTCTGGTGAGTCCTCTCACCCCCCGCATCTCTGGCCTGTACCCCAGCTCTTGTATGCATAAACAAATCTTTTTTAAAAAAATTTTAAAAAGATACTATATAGAAGTTGGTTAACATGCCCCTCGCCCACCCACACCCCCAACCCCAACAAATGCGTCTTTTGGGGCCCCAGGGATGAGAGAAGAACAGGGGACAAAAGGGTCTCGTTCGGAGAAAGAGACAAAACCCCAGGTCCAGCCCCAAACTGGGGTTCGCGTTCTACAGGCACATACTTCCAATATAAACATTGCGTATTTAAGATCATTTCAGTTGCATGACTGCATATGAGCTAGACTTCATTTCAGTTAAAATGCATGCCCACCAACACTAATTGTTAACAAGATGAAGAAAATGATGAATTTGGGGTGCCCTAGGGCATTCCTATTCATTTTGTTTTGTTTAGTTTTTTAATCGTAATGAGAGCTATTTCCGAAGCTGCTGGTGCTACTGCCAGGTGTGCACAGGTACGAACAGGTTGGCACGGGGACCCCGAGCCCCCGGCGCGCTCCGCCCCAGCTCGGGCTGGTCTTCCCTTTGCAGCGCCGCAAACCCCCGGACCATAGAGGTACGGGTCCTCCAAACTGCTAGAGAGGAAACGCAGGAGGCGGACTTCCGGCGGCCCACTTCCGGCTCCGCCCCGCCGCGGAAAGCGGGGCGTTTGGCGTGCGCGGCTTGATGTTCCGGACTCGTGGTGGGTGTGCGCGGCCCCGAAGCCTGCCCGGGGTCCCTGTGCGGCGGAACCCGCGCGCCGCGGGACTGGGGCGGGGAGGAAGGCTTCACCGGGCGGACACCTTGGAGCCTGGGGCGCGGGTCCCCCCCCTTCCCCCCGGTGCTCGTGCCTGGGCTTCGCCGCGCGAAGTTTGCCTTTCCCTGGCGGCCGCCGGCTTGCAGGATGTGGGGGCGACGGCGCAAGTTAAAAATAAGTAATTTAGGGTCCGTGTTCGGGTATTTGAGGGGACGGCGAGCTTGTCCGTCTGAAAGCAGCCGGGGCAAACCCCGCGCGCTGGTGTTTGTTGTGGCCACACAGTGGGGAGAGGGGCTGGGCCCGCCGGGGCGCCGCCATCCCGGGGGCGGGACGCGGGGTGGGGGGACCCCAAGGCCCCGGGAGGGGGCCCCAGCGCCCTCCCGCCGGAGAGAAGCGTGAAGGCGCACTCAGATTCTGTTCCAGGGCGGGGAGGGGGCACCCCAGACCCGCAAACCTGCCTGCTCTGAATAGGTTCTGCTGTCCCCCGCATCAACACAAAACATACGGGACTTTAGTGGGAAGGAACTTTAATACAGTTAGGAAACAATACAGGGAAGGCAAAGAATCTAGTTTCTAAATCAAGCACCCAAAGTGACCGTCCCCTCGTGGGTAAAAGTCCACCCAAGCAGGATTGGCCCAGAGCAAGGCCCCAAAGCCTGCCCCAAGTCTAAAGCATCATCCGGAGGGAACCCACAGAAAAGGGTCAGAAACAACCAGACAAGACTGGAGGGAAAAGAGCAAAATCAAGATAAAATCCGTCATTGTCACCTCCCCACGGGTCTCTCACCCACATCTGTGTCACCCAGTCCATGACCAAAAGGCAAGCGTGGTTTCTTCACGTGTCACTCTGCCCCAGGTGCCTCCTCCAGGTCTCCTTCTGGCTCCATCCTGTTTCCTTCCTTCCTCAGTCTCCTCTGCAGCTTCTTCTCTCCCTGCTCAGCTCCATCCTCCTTTGAGTGGGGTAGGAAACCTGGAACCTCCAGCTTTCTTGGGGACCCCCCTGTTAAAATTCTACGGAGGAGAAATACACTCTGGCGTTGTTAGGTCACTTGCAGAGTACTGGCCTGGGTTTTTTTATTTTCTAGGGCAGCCACTTAACAGCTTAATCTTCGTGTCCTCAGTTTTCAAATAGGCTGATGTCTGCAGTCCTGTCCCTAGTGGGATGAGGCAGTGAAACAGGTTCTTATGTAAAACGTATTTCCTCTGACACTAGGATGAGACTGTGTTGGAGAATTATTTCATATAAGGAGGATTTTACCATGTGATAATAAAGGGAAAGTGGAAGATAAGCAAATAAGTTTGGGATTTGAACTCTGGACTCTCAACACAGTTACAGTAAAATGTTAAGTTGTTCAGAGAAGCCCTGTAGTAAGGGAACGCGTGTAACTTTGTTTAGCCTGATGTTTCTCAAGTGCATGGACCAGAGAAACGTTTGAGTAACATCTTATTAATATCTCTCCATTCCGGGTTTTTCCCAGAGCACATTTTTGGGAAATGCTGACGTAAGAGATCATTTACCTTGTCACAGACCTGCTCAAAAGGCACTCTTACTTCTCAAAAGATATTTCAGAACTGCTTTTTGAAAATCATCTGACTGGATCTCAGGAAGGATACCTTAAGTTTTATAGACATTGGAGGAAAAGGTTCATAATAAAGTGCTACAGGTCCTATAACTTTGGAAAAGGAAGTGAACCTTCCTGGTCCTTCCTCCTGCATACATTATGGATAGGAGATAAGCTCTCAATATCATTGAACAAACAGTAATACATTTCTAAAATGATGGGAATAATTATTTGGGAAAAATGTGAATTTTTCCAAATGGAAATTCTACAGTTCAGTTAAATAACAAACAGGAAATTTGTCCATGGGCTTCTAGAAGGATCTGATTTTTTCCACTAAGTAGAGTGTAGCTAAAAACTAAGGTTTTTAAATGGAACATGCAAACTTTATTTAATGTAACAGGGAAAATCAAATAGGCATTAAAATTAAGAGAAAAACTGACTAGAAGAAATTTTGTCTTAAACATCTTACAGTGACTTTGAAGTTACATTTAAGCTCTTGCTGTGAAGAATACAGTTCATCAACAGGTGCGAATGAACTTCTCATATTTGTCAAGTATTCGTTCAATACTACTTTGTATACACATACATATTAAATTTGAAAAAGGGCCTCCTTGATAGCCTAGGGGTTAAGTCTCAGTTCTGTCATCACTGTGGCCTGAATGTGATCCCTGGCCAGGAAGCTGACCCACATACAGCTCAGCAGACCTCTGTCTCACCTGGTGCTCCCCTTTGCAGTGTATTTCAGTAAATCCACCTGTTCTGTTCCTCACTCTGTCTCTGGTGCATCCTCTCACCACCACCCTCCCCCCCCACCTTTGGTCTAAACCCCAGTTCTATGCAAAAAATAAATACATCTTTAAAAAAAATTGAAAAAGATTGACCCTCAGACAGCCTTCATTTTTGGTTGATACTTTGGAAGATGTCATCTAATGTGAGGAATGTGTGGTTCTGGCTCAGGAATCATGTAACAAACCCACCTAGGTTTGCCTGGACACCAGGTCTCCTCCACTCCTCTTCAGACATCATGTGGGGATGGGGTACTTGTATGGAAAGTTTTTAGGTAACACAATGTGCTAATATTCTTAGTCCTGGTTGAACTACTAGTCTAAGTAGTAAATCTGCTTGTGAGCCAAACTCCGATCTCATTTTCATTTTTGTCTTATCCTTGGAAACATTGTATTTTCTTCTAGGGTTTTCACCTACAACTCTGCCAATTCCTTTACAAGTCCAACATTACCCATTCATAGATCTTGTGCATGAAGAAGCTGTTCCTTCTAGAAGAGTCTTAAATATGTATCCCAAGTACATGTCCTAAGCCGATGGAAAGAGAATCTGTGGACCCTCCACACCCAGCGAAATCTAAACTCTACAGGTAAGAGACAACAACTGCTTGAGAGGAGAGTTTCCGCAAAAGATTCTCAAATATGAACACAGAGAACTCCATTCCATCCAGTTGGAAAGGGAAGTAAGGAGCAAACTTCTCCCTAGGGAAGGATCCCCTAGACCACTTTGACTCATTGTCATCCAATCTCCCCAAAGCTTTGCCTGCACATCTCCTTCTTGTGAGAACACCCTTTTTTTTTTGAAGGTTTATTTATGGGTGCAGGCGAGAGGTGCAGGGGGTGAGAGGATTCACCAGGGACAGAGCAGGGAACAGAACAGGCAGAAGGACCGAAATACACTGCTGAGGGGAGCAGCGGGCAAGACAGGAGAGGTCTGCCGTACCGTGTGGGTAGCTCCCTGGCTGGCCAGGAATCAAACCGGCGCTGCAGAGTCTGCGGACAGCTTCACAGCGCTGAGCTCAACCGCCTGCGCCAAGGGGGAGGCCCGAGAACACCATTGTTACGCAGAGACAGATGTTCAGCAGGGTGTAAAATGTGTGGTTTCAACATCTTAACATACAAAGGATACTAAAGTCACGCTGCCAGACAGTCCATTTTGTTTGCAGTGGCCTCCATCTCAGGGCTTGCCACGTCCAGCCATCAGTGTGTAACTTTTTAACATCCTTCCCTTTCTGCAGGCCTCAGACTAAGCCCCATCATCTCTCCCATTCTTTTGGGCCTCAGGCTTGTGGAATTGAGTTTGTGGCGCACAGACGTCACGGTTCCTCCAAGCCTGTGGCCCTTTGTTTATTCTGTGTGTTTCCCTACCAGCATCGGGACAACCCACGAGTCAGCATTGCTAATAATGTTCACATAGAAATAAGTTCCTCTCATCCATGCCTCCCTGTCTCCAGAGGCGGCTTCTCTCCTAGCTTTGGTTTTCTGTTTGATCACGTATATTCCTATCTAGGCAACATACCATGTAATTTAACTTCTTGAAAAATTAAAAGGGGCTCTTAATGGCATTTTGTCTTCTAGGATTAGCGTTTTTTCACACAACTGTATGCTCCAATATGAATCCAGACAGTGACAGTGTAGCTACAGCTCATTCATGGTCACCGCTTGTACATTATCCCATCTTCCCCAGCACCATTTCCCAACCGTCCATTGTTTTAGTTTCAGACCCTTCCCTCATCCAATTGAAAACAAAAATTTCTTGGGCACTTTTGGTGCTCAATTTTCTTCTTTATTCATCAAGCACTATTGAACCATAGTAGGCAGAGGATTAACAAAGCCATTTCTGAATGAGCTAACCCTCATATTAACTATTGCTAAGTAACACATTTTCACAAAACACAATATGTAGTGGCTTAGCACAGCAAACATACACCATCTCACAGTTTCCAGTGGGCCAGGGACTTGGCGACAGCTGGGTGGCTCTGGCTCGGGGTCATTGGAGATTTTCTCTGAAGGCTGCAGTCCTTGGAGGCTGGGGTGGCCTGGAGGATCCACTCCCAGAGGGTGTACTCCCATGGCTGCTGGCAGGCAGCCCCGTTCCTCTCCACCAGAACCTCCACAGCTGGAGTGTCCTCACTACATGACCGCGATCCCCCCGCCCCCAGGCAAATGACCCAAGAGAACAAGGCAGAAGCCATAACATCTCATATGACCTAACCTCAGAAGACACACATTGTCTCCCTGTTAGCCTCACAGTTGCACAGGGCAGCCCATTCAGTATGAGAGGGCAGGACTGCAGCTGAGAGATCACCTGTCATCTTGGAGCTGGCTCCATCCACATGGACCTCATCTCCGTCCAGAGAAAAAGTTAGTGTTAGGGACTGTGTTGAAAGGAATGCCTGGCTGAACTGCTGGTCATGTGTTTCCTGTGCTAGATCCTTCTAAGGCGACGGGTGACAAATGTGACTGAGGAAGGTCTTGTAAACCTAAATATTTAGATGAGTCACATGAGAAAACCCTCTGGGTGGTGATGTAACTGAGACTTGTGCTGGCTGAGGAATTACAAGTATGAGTGAGATGCAGACCCTCCTTATGGTGAGCACGGTATGGCAGTGTGGCTGAGGGAAGACTCCAGAGCCCTGAAATGCGCGAGACCTGTGTACAGGCTACTCGGGACCCAGGGCAGGTCAGGTGGGGTCTGCAAGGCCTCCTCCAGGTTCAGTGATGTGCTCATGAGACACAGGGCTTGGCATGCCGTGGTCCCTATGGCCATCACTTGCTACAGTGACGGGAAAGGCCACTAGGGACAAGCTCCCAAACCCTCCCACCCCCTGCCCCGCACTGGACCCCTACAGGACACACTTGATCCTCTAGCGATGAGTTGTGATGATGCATGTGAAATGTTCTCGACCAGGGAAGCTCATCAGAGACTCTTGTCCCTGGCTTTCGCTGGGGTCTGGTCCTTAGGCTCCTCTGCCTAGCACCGACCAAGATTCCAGATCCCAAAAAGAAAGAGGTGCTCGATATAAACCATACTTCCCACAAACAGGTCAGCATGGGGAGCCACTCGTAGAGGGCTTGGAAGCCCAAGGAAAGGGTTAACCTCACAAGCAGGCTTTTTCTAAGACAGCTATCTCAGGCTGCTCTGTTGACTCTCTGCACAGTGGAAAAGTTGACTGGAGAGATGGAAGCTTTGGAAAGACTTTAAAGAAAGATAATGTCCGGGGTACACCTTGAAAGCTAACGAGATAATTATCAGCCTGCAAAGAGGAGGGGGAGGGGAGTTAGGCACGGGGAGCTTTGTCAGCAAAGACAAAGACTGAGGGTGGGGAAGACACCATACATCTGGAGCAGTGGGAGTGGCTGGCGCGAGGGCACTGTCGTGACAGGGAAGGTTCGTGGGTCCTCGAGGGTGGAGTGTGCCCTGCAAGACAGGGCAGGGGTCAGCTAGGGGGCTACAGGTGGAGAGGATTCCAGGCAGAAGGAACAGCATATGCAAAGGCAAGTGGCACCCTCAGGGAACTGCAGATATTTGGTCCAGCTGGAGGCTGGAGTAAGCAGTGCTCGTGGCGAAGGGCCTGAGGCCTGACATGGCTTTCAGCTTTGTTTTTCTACTAAGTAAACAAGTGTATTACAGCAGCGTTTTTCATAATGCTGGTGGTAACCAGTTAGTGGGCCCTGAAATGAGTGGGTGCAGCCAGCCTGTGTTAATGGAACATAATGGGCTGGATTGGAGCACTTCACATGTAAGTGCATGCATCAGAAGTGTTCTTTCAGAAAAGCTTGGTTTCCATTTGGAAATGCGTTTCTTGTAACTTTCAAAACATGATGGCAGCTGAACCCTTCTTCCATTGGCACGAGAAGGAGAGTACCACCTTCGATATTCTGTTTCTCTCAGCTCCTGTCAAGGCATCAAAAGTACTGTGGTAGAGAAGAAGTTGCTTGGTAGCTTAGCAGAGACTAAGTCATTCTGGTTGGGCTGGGTCCTGCCCAGGCCTGGGAGCAGACACTCCTGATGGCACAGCTCCCCAGGGCACAGGAGCTCAAAGGAACAGAGATGGTTGGGATATCCAGGAAGACTTCCTGGAGGACATAGATTTTGAAGGGAGCACCTGATGTGACCAAGTAGAAAGGACCACTGGCCCAGGTGCACTGCAGGAGAAGGATGCTGCAGGGCAGAGCCAAATCCAGATACACCCCACCTGCCCCCTCCCCCTCGGCCAGTCTGCTCCTGTAGCTGGGGTCTCCCCCTTGCCAAAGAGGGAAGAGGGACAGAACCATGTCCTAAGTCAACACTGAGGGCTGGGGAGGTTCCTATTTCCAGCCCTGGTGTGAAACCAGCATTTGCAGCTGAAGCACAAGCTGGAGGAATGGCCAAGATTGGGTGCACCTTCCAGGCTGCTCCAGGCCCAGTGCCAGCCCCTTGGCTAGAGCGCCAAATTCCCCGGTGCCCAGGCAGCACCCAGGGCTCCTGGGGCAAGACTAACTTTGAGCTTCATGTGCACGGACACTTTCTTGGCTCACACAATCGCTCTGGAACAGAAACTATTCATTTCTGCTCTACTGGGACGTGAGTTCCTTGACCTTCTGTAATGTCAGGGCCAGGCAGGATCTCAGGCTCAGCTGACAGCCCACAAGGAGCAAAGAGCTGACCCCAGGGGGTGAAGGAGGGAGCTGGATGGTGGTCCCACTTCTGAACATGGCCAGGAGACGCCACAGCTGCAAGAGCCACCCCTAGTAACAACCAGCTGTCCCTTCTTCAACACACAAACACGTTTACACACATAGACAAACATACATATGCACACATAATACACAAGACACACACAAACATATACACATGCATATGTGCCAGGCTGGTACCCTCATCTCTCATGTCCAGCCTCCAGAACTGTGCAAAAGAAATGTCTGGTGTATGTAAGAGGTCAGTCTGCGGGGGTTTGTCAGCGCTGCTCTCACAGACTAAGGCGACTTTCCATTAGGATAACTTTCCTCTGACCTTTCCCCATGGAAATTCACTGGGACTCCCTTAAGCTTTCATAGATCTAAAGTGCAAAAAATATGGGGTCACAGAGAAATGATCTTGGCCGTCTCTTTGTCTTTAGGGGAAACCCTGGCCACCAACACAACAGAAGGCTGACCTGGATTTTCAAGTGTTCTGGATGGGGGGTGCTCCCACAGTTTCTCCAGGTCACACTCATCTCTGTTCTGTATGCATCCCCTGGAGGGATCCGCTTTCATCAGCCACCATGAGGACTCCCTGACATTTCCCCACACCGAAACCCCCATCACACACACACACTCCAGCTGCTTCTGGCTTTCCCAGAATCCCAACTCCACCACTATTTCCTTAGGCCATAAACAAATGCTGTAAGGAAGAGGTCATCGTGGGCCTGTCTGACTCTACCGCAGGCCTAGTGTTTCCCCTCTCAGAGTTCAGCGAACTTGGGATGACACGAAGCTTTGCAAAGAACCAGACAGAGCCAAAAAGTATCGGACAAGGCTGGTCCACCCAGGCTCGCTGTGGCCATTGCCTTCCATGAGCTCTCAGGGAGTGGAGTTTTCCTATAAACGGGGCTCAGAGTGGGCTCCCTGGGGACAGCAGGAATCGTGCAGAGATGTAAACAGCCGTCCTAAACCACCTCCCCTCCAGGGCCCCAGTCCTCACTGCAGGATGCATTGCAGTCCAAATGCCCATCTCCCCTTCCCCTGAGTGCTGTTCCGCCTCAAAGGTGCCCTCATTTTTCTTACTTTCTCAATAACCACTGGGAACCTGCCCTGTGGAAACAGAACTGCCTTTTGGTATCTACCATCCGGCTTCAACCGACAACTGGTAAGCCAGAGCTCCACAGTCAAATTCCTGTCTCAAAGTGCAGGTGGGAAGATTGGTCCCGGGAGATGCTAGAAGGTGCTTGGGGAGGGAGTAGGGGAAGAAAGGAGGACCACAAGGGCTACTTCGTAAGCAGGTTGCCCCTGGGGTCCTCTGGATGTAACAGGGTGGTCCCAGGAAAGGGGGAGGTTCCCTGCCCCACCCAAGGGAGGGTGGAGCTGAGCAGGAAGAGGAGAAGCTGCAGAAGAGACTGAGGAAGGAAGGAAGCAGGATGGAGCCAGGAGACCTGGAGGAGGCGCATGGAGCCTAGAGACACGTGAAGAAACTGCGCTTGTCTTTTGGTCGTGGACTGGGTGACACAGATGTGGGTGAGACCCGTGGGGAGGTGACAATGGCAGCTTTTATCTTGATGTTGATTTTGCTCTTTTCCTTCCGAGCTTGTTTGGTTGTTTCTGACTCTTTTTTGTGGGTCCCCACTGGAAGATGCTTTAGACTTGTGGCAGGCTCTGGGGCCTTGCTCTGGGCCAATCCCATATGGATGGACTTTTACCCACGAGGGGACGGGTAACTTTGGGTGCTTCATTTAGAAACTGGACTCTTTGCCTTACCTGTATTGTTTCCTAGTTTTATTAAAGTTCCTTCCCATTAAAGTCATGTTTTGTGTTGATGCGGCGGATGGCAGAACCCATTTAGAATGGGCAGGTTTGCGGGGCTTGGGCTGCCCCTCTCTCTGTCCTATAACATGGAGTGTCGGCCTACTGGGAGCCTCTGGTAGTAGCAGAGTGGAACAGACCTGCCTCAGAACAGACCTGCCCCCGAGGGCGGGAAGTCCAGTATTTATCTAGCAACTTGCTTTTGCTGTTCGCTGCAGCCTGATCCTGGGGTCTTTCACTTCCTGGCACTCTGGCCACACAAGTGCAGTCACTTTACTAGGGCCAGAGAAAAGCCCCAGGCAAGGAGGCTGGGAGGTTGCAGAAGTCTTTGAACTTGGGCAGCATGCAGGGAGCTTCGGATAGCTTCTCCCTCCAGCCTTGCCATTGATCGTGAGTGTGGCTCATCTAGGAAGTAGATGTGGGGACTAAGGTCCCCAGGCAGCCCACACTCCCTGTGGCTGGGCAGCCTTTGGGTGGGGTACACAGTGCTGAGGGTGGGCCAGTGCCTGCTTCAGTCACCAGGCATTGAGATAAGTTTTAACTTTTAAATAGTGCACTTCAGATCCAGGCTTGACGACACATGGGCACTGTGTTGTTCATTCGTGAGGGTCTTGTTACCTTTCGTGCCTCAGAGTTGGGTGGCCTGGATGAACTGCAGCCTGTGCACCGTTGCCGGATTTGTGGGCCCTTCACCCAACAATCAGCCCAAGGAGAGCTGAGTGTTCAGGACCAAGAGGCTGTGGTTATCACGACACAGGAATCATAACAGCAGGCAGCACCAAGAGAGCCCAAGGGATGCCCTCCACTCCTGCCCACACCCCAGCACCGCCAGCATCTCCTCCCACACTTGCCAGAATTGGCCCCTGCGCGCCTCCAGGGCCAGGCGGGCCGGACCGCGCTCACCTTCTGCAGAAATGCCATCCTCGGCCTGTACTGCTGGCCTTGGTGTCGGATTGTCATCGTGGACCCTGGACCAGTTCAGAACCAGAACACGAACGAGAGCGAGAAGGGAAGGCCCCCCCCCACACACTCAGAGCCAGCTTGGCCCGCAGGCGCCCCGGCTTGCAAAGGGAGCGCGCTGGATGGGGCGCTGCTGCCTGCGGCGCCCCTTTACTCGCGCTGGGCACACCCCTGGGAGAGCAGCTGGAATCCGCGCCGGCCAATCAGCGAGCCAAGCCGCGGGCTCATTAGCATGCGCTGCGCTGGCGCCCACCTGCCGCCAGGGGGCGGCGTCCGGCCCCCGCCGGGACCCCAGGGAGCCTCAGGTGAACGCCCCCAAGCCAGGACCCGGGAGTGGGGGGCTCTGTAGTGGAGCGCGAGTCTGGAGCGCAAGCACACCTGTGAGCAGTCTGTCACCCGCTTTGGATCCCTGGCTAACTTGCCATCAACTCGCTGGGTGGTCCTGAGCAAGTCACGCGTCTAAGTGTCAGTTTCATCATGGAACTGGAGAAACGCAAGTAGGTGGGTGGAAAATGGCACCTTTCTGTCAAATGCTGCGAGGTCGAAATGAATAACTGAAACAGCTGGCAGGAAAAGAATGCTGCTCCCCTGCGGGGGTTGGGGGGGGTGGCTGGCTCTGAACGCCAGCTTTGCCACCTGGTCTGGAATCTCATGCAAGTTTTGGATCCTCACTGGACTTCATTCCCCACCTGATCAGCGACGATAATGCTCCCTATTCGTGGGTTATTTGGGTTCTGTTTTGGTTTTTAAGATCACGCAGCTAATGCATGTAGAAGTGCGACTGTGATTGGGATATATAGTGACTGTCTGATGAACCATAGTTCTTCTTATGTCTCTTGAAACTCTTTATTAAAAATCACCATGCCTAGTGGTTCTGTCATAGACATAGCCTAAGATATGTATATCGCCTCAGAATAATATGAGCATGCTTAAGAGTGGCTACATGGAGCTGTGTGACTTTGAGCAAGTTGCTTAACTCCTCTGTGCTTCAGTTTCTCTAAAACGGGGGTGGTGCAATGGCCGCCTGCCTGCCTCATAGAGTTTGTTAAAGGGAGATAAAGGAGTAAATAATTCAATAGATACCACTTGTTACTATCGTTAATATTGGTATCATTGAGATAGTGTGAAAGCAAGAGCAAAAACGTGGAATAACTAATAGTCTCAACTTGACAGTTCTTTCCCTTGATCTCTATTTCTTCATCTATGAAAGAAGGAGAAACAGAACTAACCAATCTCTGGCAGACTGAGATCTCTCAGGTCCAACACTTCTCTGGATGGGGACAGGCTCAGTTCACATTTCTGGAGCTGCCAGCCAGTGGCGGAGGAAGCTGAGGTGGGAAGAGGGCGGGGGTGTTCGCCATAAGCGGTGTGCTCCATGAATTACTCTTCCGTGGTTCCCATCCCGCTGGAAGAGCCAAACTCCTGCCAAGCTGCCCAGACATCTTAGCTCTGAGTTAAAGCCATGGAATAACAGTTTCAGAAAACAAATACTGGGTCTGGTTGACTCATAGGGAAATGACTTGGCCCAGAACCCTGAGCTGTAGCTTCCAGCCCCAGCAAGATCACTGCCATGGCAGATGGCAGCCGGGAAGCCACTCGTTCATTCATCCAGGTTTTCAAGTTCATTGGAATAGGCTAAGCAAAATAATTTCAACATCGTTTTAAATGTGTGTGTGTGTGTGGTTGTTTCCCTGTTCTCTTATTTTGTTGATTTGACTTTCTTCCTTGTCAAAATAACTAGGCCAGGTTGAGATTTATCTATTATAATAAAATAGTGTGTGTTTACTTGAGAATCAGGTTTTATTTAAAAGTTAGTACTTTTGGAGCATCTAGTCTTCGAATACTTACGCTGTTTCAATTAGCTAACAGATGTGAGTGGGCTCTGTAAATGAGGGAAAAAAACTAGGTTGAGAGAGTGACCGCCTGCATCACTTTGCACCTAGTGCTCTGAAATAGTTTGTCGTATGTCCTCCTGCAGTCTCGAAAGTCACTGTGTTTATATGAAAAATCACAGTCACCTTAATTGCATGCTCATTTCCTGTTCTAAAATAATCTGATCAAGGGCTTTCATTTGCTGGATAAAGGAGCTGTCATGGGGTGGTGGAAAGAGACTAGTACTCAGGACACGCGGACTCTCATCCCAATTGTATGCCTGTCTGACCACTGGAAGGACTTGCGGGGAGGCAGCTCACCTCTCCAAGTCTCAGTCCCTGGTCTGAGTTGTTCAGGGTTTTCCAAAGTTTGCTCTATGAGCCACAACTCTCATAGTTGTGGGTGGGGGTCTTATTAAAATGCAAATTCTGAGTCTGAGGATGGGGGGAAGCTGAGATTCTGCTTTTGTAACAGGCTCCCAGTTGATGCCCAGGTTCACCACAATCTGAGTAGCAAAGGTCTAAAAAGACCTGTTTTGCAGTTTTCTAGAAGTGGTGAGGTGTTATAGTGAAATATATACAGAAGTTCAAGTGCTTAATACATTTCAAAAAGATTGTTTACTCTGGGGTTCCCCAAAGGCTTCCAGAGAGAATAATTTGAGTAATTCAGAAGACAAGACTTTCAGAACAGAAAAAGGTTTTTATATTATAAACAGATGCAATGAAAGTAAGAGGGCAACTGGTTTTCCCACACTCTGCTCAACCCCTCTTCCAGACAAATATTATATGAAGTCATTTAGCACTTGCCATACTTAAACCTCCCTGCAAGAGAAACAGTGTCACCCACAGCTCCCTCCACATCCACATCCCACCTGGCTCATATTTTGAATTTGCGACTTGACCCAGGACTAATTGCATCACAAACTCTGCAGTACCTAACGAGGCACACAATCCAGAGACTGGCCAACAGGCTGTAACCTGGCCAAGGTACAGTGATGAAGAGGACCAACCAGATCATCACCCTTAGATGTAGTCACTAAAGTCACCTGGTAGAGTTGGCCAAAACTGAAAAGATTCCAAGTTGGAATCAAGCCCATGATGGAGGGAGACAAACTCTGAGCATTTGTGGAGCCCAGGGAAGAAACCAAAAGGGCACAGCAAGGACCTCCCTGGTGGTGCAGAGGTTAAAGTCTCAGCCTTATCAAGCTATCACCAGCCACTGTGACAAGAGTTTGATCCCTGGCCAGGGAGCTAATCCACATGGCATAGCCAACCTCTCCTCTCTTGCCCTCAGCTCCCCTCCCTCGGGAATGTTTTCCAATAGATCCAGTACCCCAATTGCTCTTAGCAATGCAAACAGAGGCCACTGGGGACTCTCATTGGGTCTCAAAGAGCAAATTGTATCATCATCAGATACTTTATCCTGGAGGCAACAGGCTATAGAGTAGGGATGTGATGGAAACAAACTATAGTTGTGAAGCAAGAAGTTTGGTGGGGGTGGGGGTGAACTTTGCCTCCTCCTTCCAGGAAGCCTACAGCAAATTTGCGCTCAATTTGTAGCACTAATAGGATTTGAATGCCATCATATCTTCATTCTGTCCAACCTCTCCCCACCCACCCTGGTCTTGACTCCATAATTAATTTGTTTTCCTTCTGATTTTTAATTTATAGTTTACCATAATATATTATGCATCTCCTGTATGCCTCATTAGCTCAATTGTGGAAAGAGACACAGTATGAATAAATAAATAGATCAGATGAGAATTCGCTTCAGCCTATTTGTGTCCGGGGAATTGAAGTCCTCCTTAAGAAGCTGTGCAGATAGAGATTTTCTTGTCACAGGAGTCACCAAAACAGCATAATGACTTGGATGTCATCACAACAGTGATGACACAGTGTTTACATCCTCAAGAGAAGATGATAAACGGAAGGATGACTAATACAATAGCAGATGGCATCTCCTCCCGAAGTCCTTCCCTGGCTGAATTTGGTCCTATGTCTTTCCAGAGCTGATCGAATGCCTCTGAATCAGCATCTCCGGGCTAAATGTGCGTGTCAGGTTTCCATCTATTATCAAAAGTCATTATAAGAAGTCATGTGGATTTCTTTTGGGGGGTTGGGGGGCGTGGGAAGGAGTTGGGGGAGGGGAAGAATTGATTTAATCCAAAAGATTGTATCTGCTCTGTCTTGCTCTCCTGTATCATAGAGGGGGGAAAGTCAGAGGTTACTACCAAGGAAAGCATAGTCTTCCCTAACCAGACAAAACAAGTGCCACAGTGAATAGGTTTCCCTGATGGAGAGAGATGTTTCTTTTTCATCTTGACCCATAGAACACTTTAAACCTGGCGTTAGGGTCCCTTCCGGCAATGGAAACGAATACTTGATTTCTCATTTTTTTCTCCATTCTGTCTTCCTCTTTGATCTCATTTGTCATCGGTTTATTGTCTGGGATTTTCTCTTTTGGTAAACCACAACAACTATTTTTATAATGATTTGGGATATAAATTCCTTTTGAATGATGAGTGGGGGATGACTAGAATTGGACAAGGTCAGAGAGAAAGGGAAAAGTTAAGCAA